AAGACTTCATGATACTATAAGCTCGTTTTGCGTAAATCGGACCAAAAATTAATATTAAAAAAAACTGAAGGTAGCCGGACTAACTATGACATTGGGACGTCAAACATCTCAGTCCCCCCCCGACCATGGGTGCTGTAAAGCACCGGAAACGTCGGGATAATAATAAAAATATATTAAAGTAATTAAACGCGATAAAATCCGTAAATAATAGTTTTATTCAATGTGTAGTGTTCGCGTAAATTTAAGAAATCATTATGTGAACCAGTACGGACTGGTAATAGCAAATAAAATTCGCCGATTAGAAGATCTTAAAACCAAGCGCGCAAGATATATAACACCTTTAAATTTCTTGAAGAGATGCAGAGACCATAATCTCATTCCTACGTGTGTCAAAATATCAACAAACAAGGACATTCGAGGAAGCGCTAAGATCTTAAATCAGGCAAGTAAAAAGTTGTTACGGACGGTGATTCAGCAGAAACGGTTCGATTTACATTTCATAAACAACACCATAGACAATTTGTCCAGTGAACTAAAGACAATTTTAACGACATTTGATTTTAATAATTGCATCGAAACTTTAAACAAACGAGAAACATCGAAATACAATGAATGCAAAAATAAACAAATAGAAAAATACCAAAAATTAACGATCAAATCAAATGCCAAACATCCAAGTCAACGCCAGAACAATAAACAACCGTTGACCATAGACACAAACTATAAACAACGCACTGTCTATAATTTGTCAAAACATACACTGGACGAACCGACAATGAAAGTATTAGCGAAGGGAATGAACTTCGCATTAACTCCGCGAAAAATCCCGTACGAAGAAATTATCTGCAGTGTTTGAGGATTGTCTGTTTAAGAATAAGGAAGATTTGGAGGCCATACGTCAAGATATTTCGTCCTTGTTACGTCGTAGTTCAGTGCCGAAACCAAACCTTCCTAAAGACGAATTTACAGCGCTTAATAACTTACGGAACAGACCAGAACTCACGATTCTCCGCGCGCATAAAGGAAATGCTACGGTAGTAATGGACGCGTCGGAATATAATTTTAAAATACAACAACTTTTATCGGACGAAAGTACATACAAAAAGGTCAAAACAGACCCTACAACTAACACGCTTAAAACAACTAGCGATTTAATAAAGAAATACTCCGAAAAATTAAATCTCGACGTGAATTCGCTAATACCATCATGTGCCAAACCACCGAGGTTGTATGGGTTACCGAAGATACACAAACCAAACGCTCCACTACGTCCCATAGTGAGCCAGATCGATTCACCAACTTATAAGCTGGCACAATACTTAGCAAAAATACTATCACCACTGAGAGGACATACCAGAGCACACACAAAGGATTCGTACCATTTTGTGAGTGAGATAAAAGACCTACATCTCGCTAACAATGAAACTATGGTCAGTTTTGATGTTCAGTCACTATTTACATGCCTACCTATTGTGGACTGCATCTCAATTGTAACTAGGAAGCTAGAAGAAAATAACATGCCTCAAGAATATGCAATACTACTTGAACATTGCCTCACATCTGGCTATCTATTGTGGAAGGAGGAGTTCTACAAGCAAGTAGATGGTGTGGCGATGGGCTCACCTGTGTCTCCCATAGTCGCCGACATATTCATGGAGGACTTTGAGGAGAAAGCCCTTCTTACTGCTCCTGTAAATCCAAGGTTCTACAAGCGGTACGTAGACGACACTTTCACAATTTTACCATCTGACAAAGTAACTGCATTTTTAGACCACCTTAACTCCATAAACTCTAAAATACAATTCACAATGGAGTTAGAGACAAATAATTCTTTAGCCTTCCTAGATGTTTTAGTCATCCGAAATCCTGATAACACTATTGGTCACACTGTGTATAGGAAAAAGACCCATACCAACCGATATCTAAATGGTGAATCTCACCATCATCCTTCACAGTTAGCTACCGTGGGTAAATCTTTGTTTCAGAGAGCACGAGGGATCTGTGACAGAAAACATCAGGCCGCGGAGCTTCAGCACGTCAAGCAAGTATTGCAAGACAACAAGCTTCGGGTCCCGCGCCTACGTCACAGTGAACGAGTGAAGCCGGCCACAGTCGAGCGCGCGCCTGCTCTACTACCATATGTCAGAGGAGTCACGGACAAGATTGGCTACATCTTGAAGCGAGCGTCCATTAAGACATACTACAAGCCGCTGAAGAAGATTAGTCAATTTTTACCATCCATCAAATGTAATATTCCTCTACAAGATGCAGGTGTGTACAAGCTAGATTGTGAATGTGGTCTCTCTTACATAGGTCAAACAAAGAGATCTATAAAAACCCGCGTGAAGGAACATATAGCTGATGTGAAGCACCGACGCTCCGGGAAGTCTGCAGTCTGCGAACATGTTCAAGATCGTCCCCACCATTACATTAGATTTGATAAACCACAAATTCTCGCAAAAGAACACCGATTCCTACCAAGGATGATACGCGAGGCTATTGAAATTAAAAAACATCCAAATTTCAATAGAGAAGATGGTTGGGTGCTACCATCTGCTTGGGATCCTATAATTAACAAAATTAAACCAAAACCCAAGCATACCACTGCAAGACTTCATGATACTATAAGCTCGTTTTGCGTAAATCGGACCAAAAATTAATATTAAAAAAAACTGAAGGTAGCCGGACTAACTATGACATTGGGACGTCAAACATCTCAGTCCCCCCCGTCGACCATGGGTGCTGTAAAGCACCCGAAACGTCGGGATAATAATAAAAATAAATTAAAGTAATTAAACGCGATAAAATCCGTAAATAATAGTTTTATTCAATGTGTAGTGTTCGCGTAAATTTAAGAAATCATTATGATAGTTGTCAGTAAGTATTGTTACGAGCTTGAGGTTCGTGACAACAAAAATTTCCGATAGAATTACCAAAATTAACTCTTTAATTCACTTTACACTAATTAAAACTTAGAAGACACTAATAATTAATCACACTGATTCACTTTATTCCGCTCCGAAGCTTCGCTTGTCTCGCCAAATTCAATACTTCCTCGATCGCATCTTGCAGCGCCTTTAAATACACATTATCACCGAAACATCCAGAATATTCAAGTAAATACGCGCGCCAATCGACTAGGCGCCGAAAGTTCGAGTGTCGGGCTTCTAGAAAGCTTAGTTCTTCATTTCGATACTAGATGGCGCTGTCGGTTGTAAGATTAGTGATGTCATTTTCTGGAAAGCTCTCCTTGCTCTGTTACCCGACACTAGATGGCGCTAGTGCCAGACGTCAACTTAGGCGCGCAACACTGCCCCTCCTAAGACATGCTCGTCCCGAGCATTATCGGCCCCATAATAACGCGCCAGGCGATCCACATGGACGATCTTAGGAGTCTCTCTTGCGCCTTTCTGTATCCGGTAGGTTACATCGTTGATCCTGGTCACAATCCGGTACGGGCCGTCCCATTTAGCTTGAAGCTTAGGAGATTTCCCTTTGCTGCGGACTGGATTGTGCAACCACACTAGTAAACATTCGCCGAACCCTTTGTTGTTCATTTTGCGGTCATACCGGGTTTTCGTCTTTTAGGACATTTGCTGGCCCGATTGTCTGAAGTGCTCATAAATGTCATTCATTTTGTTCCGCAAGTCATTTGCCTAATCGGTTATTCTGCGTGGGGCATCTGGTGGTACCCCGGTGATCAGGTCTGCAGGCAGCCGTAATTCTCTTCCAAAGTTTGCGAAAGCTGGTGTCACTGCTGTACTTTCGTGAACAGCGCTTCGATATGACAACAAAAACGGTTGTTTGTGCTTGTCCCAATCTCGTTGCCGATTGTGTACAACTTTTGCTAGGTACCTCTCCAATGTCTGATTAAATCGTTCTACCATTCCGTCAGATTGCGGATGATAAGAAGTCGTTCTTGTTTTAAGAGTACCCATAACTCGGCATGTTTCCTGGAATATTTGAGACTCAAAATTCCTTCCTTGATCGCTGTGAATCTCTAAAGGTACTCCAAAACGACAGAAGACTTCATGAACTAGTTTATCTGCAACTGTTGAAGCTTCTTGATTTGGAATGGTACATGCACATGCACTAATTAGGTCGGCACGCCCATAAAGTATGACATTGACAGGTACTGTCTGTACTACCAAGAAATTCAGGACTTCATAGGCGTGATTTTTACTGACAGCTGTTGCAGAGATCAAGCTATCTTTTATGAACTATAGGCAAATGTATTATGTAAATGCCAACATAATAAAGTTAATTGGACCACAGGATTGTGTTTTTCTATATTATTTACTAGTGTTACAAACATTATTTAATTTAGAGGAAAAAAATTTGGTCACGGAACACTTTTTTATATATTCCGCGAATTTAGTCATCTATTGACTGGAGTCTTAGCGATATCTTGATAGCCGTCCTGGCGGATTGCTGCTCCAGTTTTATCATTTGAATTAAGAGACCTAGAGATATTATCGTCATCAACTGTCCGCTGGGCTAAACAGCCAAAATTTCTCAACAACTTCGTAATTTGACACATTTAGCATTCCGAATAGTTTTACGAACAAAATACAAATCAGAATAGGATCTAATGGTTTAAGTCCTTTGTCAGACATAAATGGCGAATTGTAACAACAACAACACAACCTCTACTCTATGGTCTATTGGTCTATGGTCCTTGTCATGTCATGTCCGACTGTTTGGATTTTGCCTGCATTACAAATTGGTTGACCTTTCGAATTTCTATATAAACAAGCGTTGATTGTTTATATGTACCGGTTAATATATTAATTTTAATAAGAAGTTTCCATAATTGACTTATTTATTAAGTTAAAGGTTATAGGTAACCGCCAAGAAAGTGCAACATCATCTGTTTGAAAAGAAAATCAAATTCATAAATGAATAATGAAAAGAGAAATTCGAGGGGTAGAGGCCGAGGAAGAGGCAGAGGTCGGGGTCGAGGTAGAGGTCGCGGTCGTGGCAAAAAGGTACCAAAAGTTATGTCCTCTGATGAAGAAGAATGTTCTGTAGAAGAAGCCACTCAGGATATTGAAGGACCCGCACCAGAGGAAACTAAGGAAGAAGCTGAGCCTGCTGAGCCCCCAAAATGTAGGTCAAATTAGAACTCACATCTCAACTAACTGTAATTGACTTATAAATATAAATAGCACAGCAGCTGTGTTTTTCGAATCATAGACATAAATTTATGAACAGATTTTAAATATTCATAGATATATCATAGCTACTCCTATCGCAAATTATCATTTGACTTCATTGTTATAATTAATGTTGTTAAATAACAACACATTTTATCATAATAGTGGTGCTCTTAATACAACCAATATTCCCATTAACTGGCCGACAATAAGCTAAAATGCTTGTGTTCGTTTACAGTAGTTACATTAACCAAATTCACCACATTAGGCGCTATTCTGTCAAAATTCAAGCGGTCGGCTTCGACCGTGCACACCCACAGCACTTTAAACCATTAAAACTTATATTTAGAGACTACTTTTCTATGAAGAAGTTTGGCATTATAGAACCAATATGAAATTTTCTATCCTCTAGTGCAATAAAAAATCAAATTATCCTATGGATATTTATTTATAATCTATGTTCATTTTGTACACCATAATCGTGTGAATGTTATTGTGTTGATTTTTGGATTTTTCTAGTGTTTTATTAGTATTTAAGTATAGTGTTTTACTATAAAATTGTAATGAAAGTTTTTGTGTGAATATAATTTATCTTTTTACATAAATAACTCTGAGTAATATATATTGAAATAATTGTGATTGTGATTGATTTCACAGTGGAAGTACCATCAGATATATCTCAGCTTGAAGCCCCTGTTTTCACAACAATACAACGTGGTCCACCAGAACCTATGCTTCGATTGGATTGGAGCCATAGGGCTACTCTGATTGGAGAAAAAGTCCTCAACCCCATGATTTACTGCTGTGATATTTGCTCAAAACCAATTCTAATATATGGAAGAATGGTAAGTGAACAGCGCTATAACTAATTTTATTTAAATATATTATACTTTTTGCTTAAATGTTGGCCCCAACTTGAATTTGAACCCAGGACTCATAGGGTAGTCCATCAAGTCAGTGGACTAAACTGTGTGGTCATCAAAAAGTTTTCACAATCTACTGAACTGAATTTCTTGTATATAGTTTTGTGTTATTAATCTAATGTATAGGTCGGGTCACGGTTTAATAGCGCTGACCTTGAAGGCCCAGAAGTCGATTTGTGATCTGTTCAGCGAAAATAGTGAGCTGCAACAGAAAAGGCACTTGGCGCCAGAGTGTTCTATTGGTTGCTCAGTCGCCTTCCCCACGCCTCGTTCTGTTCATACATCGCAAAGCCCTTAGAGTACAGTTGCACATATCATTGTTTCTATATGTTCCATAATCACTTTCATTTCTAGAGTGAAAGATGCGGACAAAAAAGTATTGACTAGGCCAGCTAGAAAAATGGTGTATGACGTGAAAATTTGTTTTAAAAAAACACAATTGAAATTCTTGGTAATTTAAAACAAGTAAAAAACAAAACTGTAGAGGCGACTTTTACATACAAAAAAACTTGGAAACAACTATTAAAAGCCACATTAAAAATCGTACAACTACTGATGCTGATAAAATAATGTTTTTTTTTAATTTATTTTAATTGAATGTTATACTAGTTAGTGTATTAGTGCAGTATTATACTAGTTTATATATAAACTTGTATAACAAATGAAAATTAATTACAATCAATCATTAATAATTTAAAGCAATGTAAGAATGTTTGAAGTTCGGTTTGATGGAAGGAATAACACCACTGCCGCCATAAATAATTAGAATTTAATGAATATCTTGCGTTTTATTGTTAAAACATATATAATATTGAAAATTAGAGCATTTTCTTTGTTTGTCACATTTATTTATCACCACCTATATAAACATTAGAATTTTTTTTTATTTACAAACACTACTTATAACTCGTTTTCTCTTAAATATGGGATATTTGGTACTTAGAATTTCATCCGCTCGCTATCCAATCACCTCTGTGTTATTACAACACTTAATAAATCTGTGCACGAATGTACGATTGCGCAGACGCAGAGCGCCCCTCCACTTTCGCCTAGCACTATTAAACCGTGACACGACCTAATACATATAAAAAATATATTCTATTAGGTTAAAATAAGTCTGCTTATTATATGTGGTTTAAGATATTTTTTTTTACAAAGAATTAACTCACATTCACTTACATGAGAAATGTTTTACAACACTGGCATAATTTTATATTGGTAGGACACACAAACAAACTCATAACAAAATAAAAATACACCATTTTGTTTATAATCTAAGCAAATAATGTTAGAAAGTTATGAGTACTTAGTAAAATAATAAAAGAAGACTACAAAGATTAAAATAAACATTCATGACCGCTACTTTACTCTATTTGGTTCGACACCGAGTGCAAAATTATACATATACCGACTAAGCTTCACTTATCGAATTGACATTGAACAATCGAGACTGGAAGTGATATTATGCATACTTGATTGAGCGCAATTATTACTTGGTCAATGGCTTAATGATAATTAATAAATGACCTAATGAATTATATGTTAAAATTATCATGAATACATCCTACCATATTCCTCTGCTGAACATAAGACTCCACCATAAATTGCCTCATGGGAGGATTTTTTCCATAATTGCCACTCTTGGTAGAATTTATCAGAAAGATGCTGCTGTCTACCTCCTGTTTCGATGTCCCTCTATCACCTCTTATGTCACCCAAGGATGATATTAGATTGTGCATGCTCTTATGCCACCACTTCACAGCAATGTGATATATGGCAAAATTAATCCATACAGACTATGGAGATTTGGTATAATTTGATTTGGCATAATATATTTTAGAGCCGTGGTAGCTCAGATGGTTAATGCTCGCTGTAAATATAACAGAATGCGAGTAACTCGGGTTCGATCCCCACCGGCACCAATGAAATTGTTAATTGAAATTTTAAGTGCTGATTTACCACATGCTCGGCGGTCAAGGAAAACATCGTCAAACAAACAAAACAAACGTCATGAGGAAACCTGCATGTCTGAGGAATAAGAAAAAAATTATTTCGAAGACATGTGAAGTTCGCCAACACGCATTGGGGCAGCACGGCGGATACTTCCTTGCCCTAAAACCCTCTCAGAAATGAGGGGAGGCCGGTGTCCAGCAGTGGGACGTATATAGGCTGTAACTTTACTTTACTTAATATATTTTATTTCTTTGATTGAAATTGCAGGAAATATAGTAAATGGGGCTCTACACTCTATTGTGGAAAGTCAGAATGTATCAAAAAAGGCATGTATGGCAATTCACAATGATGTGTTAGTCCCTACTTTAACATATGCTATTGAAAGTTGGGTGTGGCAGAAAAAGCATGAGAGTAGAATAAACTCAGTAGAAATGCGGCCATTAAGGAGTATGTTAGGGCTGAATCTGAGTGACAGGGTGAGAAATTGTGTGATAATAGAAAAGTGTAGTTTGCAAGATAATGTTGTGACCTGGATTAAGTAAGGAATGCTTCAGTGGTTTAGTCATGTAGAAAGAATGAAAGAGGAAAGAGTGACAAAATAAATTTTAAAAATTAACGTCGTCGATATATTGATAATGGGCCAAATTAGGAGTACCCTTAACGAACGAGCATGTATGCGTAGGTATATGAATGTGGAGGAGGCGAGAGAGGTGTCAGGATCGTGCCAAATGGAAGTCTGTAGTCTCTGCCTACCCCTCTGGGTGACTTGTGTGAGTGTTTTTGTATGTATTCTTCGATTGTACTAGAAAAATGAGGGTTGCTAGAAGCAATGTCCCCTCTTATTAATACTCTTGTGTATTAAAATCAAGTGGATCAAACCCATATAACACATTCAGTAAAAGACTAATTTATTTGGTTATCTTTTAAACATTGATTTTATTTTCAGATTCCATGCAAACATGTATTTTGTTTATCTTGTGCCAGATCAGACCACACACACTGTCCTCGGTGTAGAGAGAAAGTAAGTATTGATTATTATTATAGTACATATTATATATACTTTACCGGAGGACATGGTAGGGGGGGGAGGAGTAGAAGGGTTAGTTTGGGCCTGTCTCCCCTTCTCAAAACTCTTTATTTTGAAACTATTGTAATTTGTAAAAGTGGGAGAAATAATGTTTTTTTTTTTTATATTGTATCTTAAACAACTTTGAAATAAATGTTTATTTCAACTTAATCTGGTAAAATAATCTAAAACAGCAAAGTTTAAAAAAAATGTCAAAGTGATTACTGTAATTCCTTTATTTTCATTTAACAACATCTATCGAAGTCAAATTTCTTTTAATGAAGATATACTGTAGCAATATAATACCAGCCTATGTGAGACCGGTCAACGTACATTTTGTACTTTGAAAAATTATAACCATAATGTGAAACAAAAACCTTTTTAACTTCAGGTGTTGCGGGTGGAGCAGACTGGTTTAGGGACAGTGTTTATGTGCACACACTCTGGAACAAGATATGGAAACACTGGCTGCAGGAGAACTTACTTATCTCAGGTAATTTCCTCTGTTTTCCCAATTCCGGAGTACTTACACGTTTTTTTTAATAATTACTACTGTATAATTAAACAATATTAAAGAAATTGAGTCAGTGTGTTAAAGCTGTGTAATATAATAACTAACTATATTATAGTAACATTAGTGTGGTGGCTTGACTAGGAAAGAATCACACTCACTTGGAACTTACCATCAGGTAGACGGTATGCTCAATGACAGCTTAAACAGCTTTTTGCCACAAGGGCGGCGCCAGTTTTTTTTTTTATAAGTGCGAGCAGCTATGAAGGTCTAGGGAAAAAGACCAGTATCACTGCGACCTAGAAGATCTATTGTGATCGCTGCTATGGCTATAGTTCATGGCTAAGCCCTATGTCTTCAATGAATAGAAGGAGTTGCTTAGCTGTGAGCAATTTCACTTCTTCTGGGCCTCCGCCCAGAAGTTACATAGTTTCCCAGATGAGTGTTACGTTTGCGCATTAAGGGTCCGCAATCAGTTAGGATGTGTAGAGGCGTTTCTTCCGTTATGGAACAGAACCGACACATCCTTGAGTTGCTTAGTACCAGGATGGACATCTGATTTTTAAGACAACAGTGTCCAGTTAGGGCTCTTGCCAGAATGCCCAATTTATTTTTACTTAATGCCAGGGCTTCTGAAGCGAATTTACTATAAAAAGCCCGGATTAAGGTTTCAGAATATTTTAAGGCTGGTGTGTCAGACCAGATCTTAAGTGATTTATTGTGATAAAGAGTTTCAAGGGTCAATCGGGCTAGGCTTCTTGAGATTCCACAAAATGGCTCAGGTCCAAATTGTGTGCACTTTGAGCCCTCCCGTGCAAGTTTGTCGGCAAATTCGTTGCCTACAATACCCTCGTCGCGAGATCTCATGTTGGGCAAATAAAATTGTTAGAAAAGTGTAAAGATTTATATGTCTTTCCGAAATAATAGTTATATTTTTGTATTAATTAGATAATAAGTGGATAAACCAAATTACTGTGATTAGAATTCAGTACATTGCTATAAAGTTAATATTGTTGCGTGCGATAATTATTGCCTGGCACTAACGCCATCTAGTATCGAGTAGCAGAACTAATCCTTCTAGATAATTCCATACTAGAACATTCTACAACTAGTCGGTCGGGACTCGTATGTGCTCGAACATTCTAGATGTTTTTAGTGGAAAAGGCCCTATATATGGCCAGTAAGGACCGCGACCGGAACAGTATACATATGATTATATTATTATTATACATATGATTGTATTTATTATACATATGATAGAAACCGAAAAAATTATTTAAAATGCAATTTAATGATGATGATAACACTACATGACCATATGTATGACAAATAGTTTCTCCTTAGCCCTCATTGTCACCCATACTTCTATAAAAAAAGAAATGCATAAGTCTACGGCTTAATATATATGTTGCTTAATATATGTTGCTTCAAGAGACGCGCACTTTAGATCGTACAATACCTACCTTACGTCCGCTCCAAAAGAGCACTAATTAGATCAGAATTACTGCCCTATGAAAACTTTTTTTTAAACTATTTTTTCGTTTTAAACAAAACCAAAGACACTATGCAATAGATAATAGTATCAAAGACAAAGATATGCTCTTTTATTTTAAACCATAACCTGGCAATGTTTCTTAGAAAAAAAAAAGAAATCACTCTGAACTTTCGGCGTTCCACGTGTCGCTTTGATGAAGGTGCTCCGACTTTTTTTATAGAATTTTATATTTGTGTCTGGACTAAATACGAAAGTATTATACTTTTTTATATTCCTTGTAATATAGTAAACACGTAGATATATAATTTGTGGTATAAAAAGTGAAAAGTAAATTGCCAAAAGTACATACTTCAAAATCCGGAAGGCCCATTTTGGCGGTTGGGTCATAAATGTGTTATTTTTCAAATTCTCATTTATTTTTAGTGTAATATGTAAGTAAAAATAGTTTTACATACAAAAAAGTTGATTTATTTCAAATTCACACAAAACTATTTTTGAAATATTGTTCGAAATGTCATACAGATGAAATATTATTATTATTTTTTATTTTTTTATATTTTAATATTTTGGTATGAGTAACGAATAGAAACACATAAAACATAAAAATATACATATTTCCAAACATTTTCATATAAATTTCTCCAAAAACAAAAGTGTAGAATTCAAATTAGTAGTAATTTTGTCACTAAAATTGAAGTATATACTACTACTATGCTATACAGGGTAATTTATGTATTTTATTACAATTTCTAGCAACCAAAAATAATTTTATTCGATAGTTTATACATTCAACAAGAATTCCTGTAAGTTTTATCCATAAATATTGTCTCATAGTGAAAATATAGCAAAATTTGCAATATTGCAAAAAATTTTCTAACTTTACAAATTTTCCCGCCATTAAGGTCCCGAGCGAACGGGAGTATAACATGTCGCGCGCTGTCAGAGTGTACATGTTAACGTCGATTTCACATCTTATTTCATTCTTGTTTATTTTAGAGAGATCTCCAAGCTCATATAAATCATCGACATGTGTCGTCTGGGGTGACAGAGACCAAACCGGAACCAGAACCACCAGCTACCGCTGTAGCCATTGTCAAACCTATGACGGTAAGACTGCTAATATTTTTACTAAAACTTAATGAGAGACACCAACAATGTGCTGTACCTAGTGTGTAGTAATACAATATTTGTTTAATGATTTCTTATATTTATGCGAACACTACACATTGATTAAAATTACACATATACATACATACATATGACATAGTCAGTTCGTTTTGCATAGATCGGACCATAAACAATAATTAAAAAAGCTGAAGGTACTCCGGGTTTAACAATGACATCGGGACGTCAGTCACCTCAGTCCCCCATGACCATGGGTGCTGGAAAGGACCCATGGTCGAAACGTCGGGAATTAAAAATTAAAATAATTAAAATTAAAATAAACGCGATTAAATCCGTAAAAGTAGTTTTAAAAAATATTTGTTTGTATATATAATATATGGATCAGTAAGCTGAAGTGGCAATGAGCAAGCTATATAGCCGGAAGGACCGATAACATATGTGGTAGGGATTCTGGAGTACCAGCCTTGTTCTGGTAAGCAAAGTGTAGAGCAGTGCTATGGATGGAGTGATGACCTGAAGAAGTTATTGGATCATGATGATGATACATAATTTATTATGTATATTATATGATTAGGTAGTCACCTATCCTGGTTTTGTATGGGTGGGATCTTACAATGTGACATTATTTAGTTAAAAAAATATTGTCAATGACAATTTACTTCATATTATCAATTTTTCGATTTAAGAGAAAACGTTTTTGGAATAAGCCTGGCTCACTCCTGACATCACTTTCTATGTTAGTGAAGTTTCATTACAATTACAAATTCAAAATATTCATTAGCTTGGACAAAGAAACAAAATTTTTAAAAATGTTTACTTATGTCTCTGGCTGTCTTATGTCATGCAAATGACTTCCGCAGCTCAATAAAAGACAGTTATTTTGATATTACAGGAAAACACTTTAATTTTGTTTTTATGTATGGCGATGTATGTAGTAGAGATGGGCCGAATATTCGTTTTATATTCGGTATTCGGCATATTCGTCAGCTTTACCGAATATTCGTATTCGGCCGAATATTCGGCTAAATCACCGAATATCCGTTAAAGTGGTACTCAAAGTGAGTAATGTCATGTCTTTCATATTTTACTATTGAAAGTATGTTTTATTTATGGGTGAAATCTAGTTGTATCGCGTTAAATTTCTGAGGCACTGTAGATTTATTTCCAATTATAGCAAATAGGAAGCTTGATAAAATGTTTTTGGGATCAAACAAAGAAACATTACATTACATTAGTACATTTCCATTTACTTTGGTTTCTCTAAAATAAGTTCAAATAGTAGATCTCCCGCCACTAATTTTTATCATATAATTTTCTCTAAGAATATCACAACGAAATACTTTTTTCTCACAAAAATATCAAAACAAAAGGATGTGCCGGCAATTTGCTCAGTACTATATGAGTATGATCATATGATGCAATAACATGTCTGGTGTGGCGGGGGAGCCAGTGGCAGGGTCCGGCGCTAATCCCGCGCGAATTACGGTTACAGACACAGGTACTTTTTGTATACCTGAAGGTTACAGTTTTCGATATAAATTGGTTAGATACCGAGGTGATCCTGCCGAATAATGTTTGGCCGAATACTCGGTTCGGTAATTGTTTTACCGAACTTTCGGCCGAATATTCGTATTAGCTGAAATGCATATTCGGCCCATCTCTAATATGTAGTAATAGATTAAATAAATTATCAAGAATATGTTATATTCCAGATACCATCCGCGGGGGACCCCCGTGCGCACTCGCTGGGGCACGTGCCACACGCCGCGCACGCAGCGCACGCCGCGGGCGAGCGGCGCCCCGCCAGGACTAACCTCATCACTGTGCCCATACAGGACCAGAGCGACTCGCACAACTACTATAATTATTATCAAGTAAGATCTGATGTCATGTGTAATGTCCATGTCACACCTATGCCGGTGGTTGTAGGAAGCACTAAGCTCGAAGTTGTTGACGAGTATGTTTACCTGCGACAAATAGTCCGACTAGGTAAGTCCAACTGCGACCGAGAGGTCATATGACGGATTCAACTCTGCTGGGCAGTGTTCGGAAAATTATGACACATCTTCTCGTCCGGTATACTTCAAAACCTGAAAACTCGATTGTACAACCAGTGCGGGTTGCCATTGATGATTTATGGATCTGAGACGTGATCCTTCACTGGTGGCCGTATGAGTACGCACAAGGTCGCTTAGCAAGCTGTGGAGAGGGCTATGCTCGGGGTTTCTCTGCATGATAAACTTAGAAATGAGGATATCCGCAGTGAAACCAGAGTAACCAAAATAGCCCAACATATTAGTAAGTTGAAGTTGCTATGAGCCGGCCATATAGCTCGAAGAACCGACTGTTATCAAAATAACCGATGGTGAAAAAAGCTTCTCGAATGGCAGCCTCGTACCGGCATGCGTAGTGTAGGGCGACCCCCCACTAGATGGAGTGACGACCTAGTAAGACGTTCTGGCAGTCGACGGATGCAGGTGGCTCAGGACCTTGCTTTGTAGCATTCCTTGGGGGAGGTCTATGTTAGCAGTGTATTTGTGAAGGGCTGTAATGATGATGATGAAGATCTGATGAAAGCATTTTTCTAGGCTGTCTTTGAGCATACTTATATACTTACTTAATAACTTAGCAATAACTAATAAGTAAGTTTAAAAATAAGTTTATTCAAAAGAAATAAGCATTCAAATGCAGTATCAAAAAAAAAACGAAAAAATTTCTACTAGAAACCAAGTCAAGGAAATCGAGGATCTGCTTAGCGGCTAACAAAATCTGTTCAAAATATCTTTTTATAACGCTATTTTGGTTGTTAAACGTAAACAAGTAGAGACAAACCTGCTTCAAATTTCGTAATCGTGTCATGTCATCATTACATGAAGGTCTGCTTCGGGTTAATGTTTGTGCTGTTTTGTATGTGGTTGACTGTAATATTGCTCCAGCATGAATGGTTTGAGTTGATCAGGGAAGAACCACACCAGCACAGAAGTACAGGGTAAAATATCATCATAATATTAATATAAACAAAAAGGCTTAATTTCATTGTTTTGCTTGCTTCATATACCTTGACTTGGACTGCCTCGTTGGTCTAGTGGTTGTAGTAGTGCGACTGCTGATCATGAGGTCCTGGGTTCGAATCCCGGGTCGACCCAAAAAATTAATTATAGAGTTTTTCCGTCAAGAAATTCTCAGTAGTTGCCCGGAGTCAGGAAGTTGGTGGTATCTCACCCCCGTGCCTTGGAAAGCACGTAAAGCCGTTGGTCCTGCGCCTGATCTCTCTCCGGTCGTGTCGGTTTACCGTCCCCATCGGATTATGAGAGTGAGGGAATAGACAGTGCACCTGTGCTTGCGCATACACTTGGACACTATAATCCTGTCCTGCGCCGATGGCTAGCCTCCGTTGAGGCAGGCCGCCGTGGCCGGAATTCGGTGTGGAGGATTATTTTTTGTTCTAAGTGAGAACTGAAAACTTTTACCTTTACTAGTAACAAGACATTATATGTTAATGATCATGCTTTATCATTTTGAGCATGCTTTATCATTTAGCATTTCAGAGTAACAAACAAGTATGGTAAATGGGTACTTTGGCCTATAAACATCTACATTTATCCTTGATTAAGAATCAATATGCAGATGCATTGTCACTCCTGAAGGCTAAGATGGAATGCCTCATATCCAGTAATAAAGGTCTACAATTCTCTACACTCACCATACGAAACAGCAGCACTAAGCTGCTATTTTACTCTGGTATTCTGTGAAAGTATGGTTCTTCCCGGTTGAGCCGACCGAATTGTCTGCAACGATAAGACTACAGCTACATCATGTCTACCACACATAAGTATATAGATATATAGTGATAACTGTGGCCTGCTATTGATTTGTTATATGGTACTGCATTTCTTGACTGCACTTCATTATTCTGCTCACTCCGTCTACTTATTTTTTATTGTTTGTATTTTATTGTTAGTGGTCTGAGTGAGAACCGGAGACTATTTTTACTACAAGGCATTACATGTTAGTGACCATGCTTTACCATTTTGATTCTGAGATGATAAACATAGGTGTGTGGCCGTATAAGGAAAAGGGGAGATCTCCCGCCGGGCAAGGTGTTCTGCCCGGGGAGCGGCCAACACTCCGAGTGATAGTTCGGAGAAGTTCTATATATACTGTCTATGATTCTGAATGTTAATAGCGTGATTTAGGTTTCGGTGTATTTCGCTTGTGGCGCGACGACAGCGCCGCCACATCCGGTCTGAGCAGGGGGGCTGCTCAGACCGGAGGTCGATAGTGCAGCCTCGTTGTCGACGAATGTGCAAGTGCCAGGAGATTGTCTTGTAGTCTGCATTGAGTCGAGAAGAAGGCAAGTAATCTGCGAGAGTGCCGTGAAGCAGAGGCAATCAGTAAGGCTCAGAGCCGTGCCGAACACTGTAGCGCAGATAGTAGCTTTAAGGAACAGGAAGCATTATTATTCCAGTGCTGCGATGAACCTTGTGAAGCTAGCTGGCTTGCAGGATATGAAGATTGCAGAAGGTATCTGCTCGGGAGCGAATGGGTGTGGTATTTTATGACGATGATGAAGCTTGAAGTTTCCGAAGGTTGTTGGTTGCGTGTTCAGATCACGTCGGGGTCACCACTGTGGCCGTGGTAGGAAAAGGGGAGATCTCCCGCCGGGCAAGGTGTTCTGCCCGGGGAGCGGCCGACACTCCGTGTGATAGTTCGGAGATGTTCTATATATACTGTCTATGATTCGGAACGTTAATAGCGTGATTAAGGATTCGGTGTATTTCGCTTGTGGCGCGACGACAGCGCCGCCACAGGTGTTTATGGGTCACAGCATTCACTTACAAGGTTGTCGGCTTGACGGTGTGCTCCTTATCACTTTTACTTTTATAAGAAAATTATGAATAGTGTTGAAACAAAAAATAATGTAATGTAATACTGCCAGCAGAGTGCGCAAGGTGTTAGTGGGAGTGCGGTGCCGGCGGTGGGCGCGGTGCCGGCGGTGACGTCGGTGCCGGTGCTGACGCACAACATGAGCGTGCCGCCGCCCTACTACGTGCCGCCCTACGCCACCCCGCCCGCCCCCCACGCGCCGCCCGCGCCCTACGTGCCGCCAGGTCAGTACAATACTAGTCGGTGCCGGTGCTGGCGCACAACATGAGCGTGCCGCCGCCCTACTACGTGCCGCCCTACGCCACGCCGACCGCCCCCCACGCGCCGCCCGCGCCCTACGTGCCGCCAGGTCAGTACAATACTAGTCGGTACCGGTGCTGGCGCATAACATGAGCGTGCCGCCGCCTTACTACGTGCCGCCCCACGCCACCCCGCCCACCCCCCCACGTGCCGCCCGCGCCCTACGTGCCGCCAGGTCAGTACAATACTAGTCGGTACCGGTGCTGGCGCACAATATGAGCGTGCCGCCGCCCTACTACGTGCCGCCATACGCTACGTATCCCCACGCGCTACATTTTGATTTTTGATTGATGTAAAACTATATGTGACATGGCAGTGCATGCAGCACATGGCGTCTGGATATAGAAGGATTTGTCGCACCATCCTTCGCAAACATAGGCGGCAGTCATTATACCAGATGTCTATATATTCGACGTTCCTCGGTACCATTCAAGGTATCTATTTTACATTTTATTTAGGTATTCCTGATACAAACAAGATCAGCACTTAAAATTTCGTTAATTGAATCCAGGCTGCTCGCGTGGATACTCTTAAATTTACGACGAGCGCTAAGCTCCTAGGCTACCAAAACTTTAAGTGCTTAATTACCATATACTCAGTGGTGAAGGAATACATACTGAGAAAGCTTGTATTTCTAAAGTATAAAATTGTTTGTGGACATGCCAAATCTGTCAAAACTAACTGGCATTCGACATCATTTTTGAGGTTAAGAGCTGATTAGTTTTTGAAATCAATCAGTAAAGCCGTTTAAAAGTTATTCCAAAAAAAACAGTTTTTCAAGATTTTATTTTTGAGATTTCTCAAAATCTACTCGTCCGAATCAGTTCATATTATCACCAAATCTATTCCACATTGAGATCTTTAAAACGTCGCAAACCGCATCACAATCGATCAAGACGTTCAAAATTTATGAAAGGCTTACATACTTACACACATGCATACATCCAGTGGCGAAGCTTCCATTAAAGCTGAAAAGCCGGGCTTTTCTATTAAACCTGAATCAATCAATAATATCAACTAATAAAATAACTCGTAAAATGTTTCAAGCTATTTCAATTTTCCCGCGCACTCCACTGTTCGACACATGTCGACCGATGACCTCGTATTGCCTTAGCGATACTGCTGCTGTCAAAAAATTAGTTTTAATAGAGCTAATAGGTAATAGTCTCCCTCGCTTGCGTGGGCTCTTTACGGGGCTTTCGAGAAGACGATCGCTCACTTTCTAACCTATGGCAAAATATTCTATAATGAAATATAACTACTAGCAATTAGTATAGAGATTTAAAGCCAGGCTTTTGGGAATAAATTTGTTAAAAGCGGAGGCGCGCGAGCAATACGTTTGCAAGTTCATTTCACGTTTCAATGTTTATTTACTCCGTGTGCTTATCTTAAGCGATTTAATATTACGAGTTCAAAATTTATGCTTTTTTAAAGATTTTTAATGAAAATGGAGGATAATAGTGTTCCTTGTGATGAATTGAAGTGTGTTAAAGCGATAATCGGAGAGGAAATCTTTAAACTTTATTGAGATAATACACAAGGTTAAGAGTGTATTTCAGACTTATCAATTATCGCAATTAAAAACAGTTATTGGTACAATTAAAACGTTCACCAACATTTTACGTGGACGTAATTAAATCTTTCCATAAGAAAGCGAGACGATTCCACTTATCTTATCTTATCTCTTATCCATTAGAATGTAAATATTTTTTTTTATTTTGTACATAGTTTGTTTGTACTTTGTTCGTGTTTTACTTTTATTCATGTATTGTATTGGATGTAAATATTTTTTTCTTTCGCTTAAACAAACCCAAACGGCTTTCTTCAAAGCCACCGAAGCTATGCAATTGCTGATATGTAATACAATCTATCTAGCAGTGGTATTCCTTCTGTGTGCTTTGTTAAACACGTCCTTGACAGCACTGAATATGAAACTGAAGCGTGGAGACAGATCAAGATTGGTGTATTTTTATAAAACTGCTAAAAACAACAATCTATAATTTTATCAATTTATATCTTGGGCTTGCCCTAGCTTGGAGCTCTAGCTTCGCCACTGCATACATCCGTACGGACGTCCATGTGAAATTAGTCAGAATAGCTTCCTGAGATCTCAAAACGTAGAGATCTGATGAAAACTAGATTTTCGAAAATCTGGGTGAAACCAATAACTTCCCTATTTTAGTAAATTTTCAATTTTCTTAGCGGGATGTTAAAAATTAAAATCTATAATAATAAATTTTATTTATGTAGGAGGGAGTATGACACCCAACGTGGCTGGAGTGTCACCAATGTCCGCGTCCGTGGGCATCGGCGGCGTCGGTAACGTGGGCGACGGCGCGCGCTGGCCTGAGGGTTACCAGCCGCCCACCGTTCCCGTACAGCCGTGGCCCCAGCCTCAGCACCACTACTATCGGTAGCACACAAGAGAATATTGGACTAATAGTCACTAAACCTAGTTCGTTCTGCAGACACAAGTGTTTCACGTGTAACGGATTCTTAATATAAAATATACTATACTGAATGCTGTTTTTGAATTAACGTGGTTTATTACGGAATTGTGCACAGAATGTGATTGATATCCTAATTAAAGTTAATTAGAATTTATAGGTATTGTTAAATATAATTAGTCTAGATAATACATACTAACTTAACCATGAACGCGGGGAGTATGGTCCACTAGAATAAATTAAATGTATCTAAAAGATAGAAGAAAAATTGGTACTCACCCATCTCCATCACTACCCTGTCCTCCTTAAAACTGTCTCCATCTTCCAAAATTCGAAAATTCCTATGTTGCCTAGCAACTTCAAAAGGGTAATGTGATAGTGACCTTAAGCCCACACCACAAATAAATGTAGGCTACGTCCATGCATTTAGTTGAGAATGTTACAAAGTTATCTTTTATGTTTATGTCAGAAAATTAAGAATTTATATTATGTATAACATTTAGCTACTTGTAATATATATATATATATATATATATATATATATATATATATATATATATATATATATATATATATATATATATATATATATATATATAAAGTTTTTTTTTTATAGAATAAGGATGGCAAACGAGCACACAGTCCACCTGATGGTAAGTGGATGCTGTGGCCCATAGACATCTACATTAATAATCAAAATGCAGATACGTTGCAGCCTTGAGGACTGAGATGGAATGCTTCGTTTCCAGTAAAAAGGATCTTCCGATCTCTACTCTCACCATACGAAATACAGCACCATTAAGCTACTACTTTACGCTGGTATTCTGTGAGAGCGTGGTCCTACCCCGGTCGAGCTGACCCATTCGTGCTGCAACAACAATAATTTAGTTACTAATAATCTGTTGAGTTAATTTTGAATAGTCTAGGGCGCCAGCACAAACCTCATATAGCAGCATCATGTCAGCTACACACCTACGATCTTGTAGTGTTAATAAGTTGTGATGCAGACAAGAGCTATGGTATTCTTCGCTCCTGTGTCTCTCGATTATTGAGGTACCGCAGGAATCTACACTGTATACCCTTTATGGCTGCGACATATTTTTTTGTATTGAGGATTCCAAACACGCTGCGGAAATTTGAAAAAGAAAGTGCTAAGCAACTTAAACCATTGAAAGATATGGTGACATGCATGACGAATCTAAGAAATTTGTAGGCTTTCATGGTTATTTATGTAATGTGTTCTGAAAAGGTTAGTTTGCTATCTAAAGTTACTCCCAAGTCTTTAACGCTGTTTACTTTTGTTATGGGATCACTGTCAATGTGGTAAGAATACTGTATAGGTTTTATTTTACAGGTAAACGTGATTGTTACACATTTTTCAATATTAGCTGTTATGCAGTTATGTTTATAGTATAGAGCAAGTCTATTTAAGTCGTCTTGGAGGAGCTGACAGTCCTTTTCTAAGTTAATATTCATATATATTTTCTTGTCGGCGTATAGAAGAAAATTAGCGTGTTGTAAACATGTTCCTATATCATACAGGTAGGCTATATACAGGAGAGGACTAAGCAGAGATCCCTGTGGAACACCCGAAGGGACGTTTATGTAATCAGATCTGAAACCACCTATAATTACAGCTTGGCTGTTTGTAGTTTTTGGAGCAGGATGACCTGATCCACACAGTCGAATGCTGTTTCGAAGTCCGTATAGATCACATCAAAAGGTTTGCACCTCCGTCCATCCCACGTAGGACGTCGTTCATAAATAGTCATCATCATCATCATTACAGCCCTTCACAAGTCCACTGCTGAACATAGGCCTCCCCCAAGTAATGCCACAAAGCACGGTCCTGAGCCACCTGCATCCATCGACTTCCTGCATGTCTTACCAGGTCGTCACTCCATCTAGTGGGAGGTCGCCCTACACTACGCCTACCGGTACGAGGCTGCCACTCGAGAACCTTTCTTCCCCATCGGTTATCGGTTCTTCGAGCTATATGGCCGGCCCATTGCCACTTCAGCTTACTAATCCGTTGGGCTATGTCGATCACTCTGGTTTTACTGCGGATATCCTCATTTCTGAGTCTATCGCGCAGAGAAACTCCAAGCATAGCCCTCTCCATAGCTCGCTGAGCGACCTTAAGCGTCCTCATACGGCCAGCAGTGAAGGACCACGTCTCAGATCCGTAAGTCATCACTGGCAACACGCACTGGTTGTACAATCTAGTTTTTAGAGATTGAGGTATACCTGACGAAAAGATATGTCGTAATTTCCCGAACGCAGCCCAGCCGAGTTGAATCCGTCGATTGACCTCTCGGTCGAAGTTGGACTTACCTAGTCGGACTATTTGTCCCAGGTAAACGTACTCGTCAACAACTTCGAGCATAGTGCTCCCAACAACTACCGGCATAAGTGTGACATGGACATTAAACATGATCTTTGTTTTGTCCATGTTCATCTTAAGACCTATCCGTTGGGAGGCACTATTGAGGTCATTGAGCATAATGCTTAAGTCCTCCAGCGATTCTGCCATAATGACTATATCGTCGGCAAATCGAAGGTGAGTGATGTACTCGCCATTGATGTTAATACCGTATCCTTTCCAGTCCAGTAGCTTGAAAACGTCTTCCAACGCAGCGGTGAAGAGTTTCGGGGATATAACATCACCCTGTCTTACACCTCTCTGCAGTTGGATAGGTTTCGAACTCTGGTTCTGTACTCGGATAGCCATCGTAGCCCTACTGTACAAACACTTCAGCACTTCGATGTACCGACAGTCAACTTGGCACCGCTGAAGGGACTGTAGCACCGCCCAAATTTCGACGGAATCAAAGGCTTTCTCATAGTCCACATATGCCAGGCAAAGTGGCAGATTGTACTCTTCGGTCTTCTGTACAATCTGCCGCAGGGTATGTATGTGGTCTATGGTACTGAAGCCTTTTCGGAGACCGGCTTGTTCGGGAGGCTGGAAGTCGTCGAGTCTGCGTGCGAGACGATTCGTAATGACTCTCGAAAATAGCATGTAGACGCGGCTCAGAAGGGAAATCGGTCTGTAGTTCTTCAAGAGAGCGTTGTCGCCTTTCTTAAAGAACAAAACCACCGCGCTTCTGCTCCACGCCTCCGGAGTAGTGCCACCATGGAGGACGGAATTGAAGAGCTTCCGAAGGACTTCAAGTACCGGTTTTCCACCCGCTTTCAGAAGCTCCGCTGTAATTCCATCCTCGCCCGGGACCTTGCCGTTTTTAAGGTGGTGGAGAGCCATTCTAATCTCGCTCAGACTGACGTCCGGGATATCATCGGAATAGTGTCGGATAAGACTTGCTCTTGGATCGTTACTCACACTTGCGTGTGGCTCCAACGATGATGTGTACAGCTGCCCATAGAACCTCTCAATCTCACTCAAAATCTCAGGTGTCCCGGAAACGATGTTGCCACACTCAGTCTTCAGCTTTGACAGTTGGCTCTTTCTGGCAGACAGATCTCTGGCAAAGACTTTGGAGCCCTGGTTCCGCTCGATCGCTTCTTTAATACGAGAAGTATTAAAGTTGCGTAAGTCTCGCCGCATGCATTTGGAGATCTGTCATAAATAGTCATAGATTGGTATTTGTCGAGCGACCTTTAACGAAGCCGTGTTGTTCGGGTGGAATGGAAGGTATTAATAGTGGATATATGTTATTATATACTATTTTCTCTCAAACTTTACTAAATGTATTTAATATTGAGATTGGTCTATAGTTTTCGATTTTGTTTTTCTGTCCTTTTTTGTGTATAGGTATTATATGTGCTTGCTTCCATAGTATTGGGAGGCTTCCTTCTTTTAAAGATCTATTAAATAAAATACGTAGAGGTACTTTATTATTCATAAGAAAAATATCCCACGGGCTCTTTGTATAATGAAAACATTTGACGTTAATTCCCATCCCTAGACGCGTATGTTTGCAACACCATTTCTCTAGTTAGTCTAGCGCGGCTGTCGCATTAATACGACCACTGCCTACGTAACAAGCGGATCAAACGAATGGAAATTTCCATTAATGTTGTTAGTGGGTATTTTCGATAAAATAGTCACATTTCAATAATGACGACTACTGAGGAATTAATAAGAATATTAGAAGGAAAAGTGAAAATTATAGTAGAACGCCGATTATCCGAACGCCGATTAACCGAATCGCCAATTATCCGAATCGGTCCTAAGCGTAATATAAAAAATTAAAACCAAGTACTGTAAGTAAGTAATGTAATTTTTGTTTTGTTTTCTTGTAACAAGTTGACCTCGCTGTAGTCCAGATATATTTCAACTGTTATGGTTGAAAGCTAGAGGCAAGACACTACATGTTTTGTGTGTGACAGTTCGTTTTTTTATTACCAGTATGTCCGATTATCCGAATCCATCCCGGTCCTAATTAATTCAGATAATCGGCGTTCTACTCTAATGTGATTTAAGAATTAGTAACTGATTAGCAAAAAAAAAACAAATAAAACAATTGTGATTCAAAAATTTATTCTAGGTTGATTTATAAGAAAAAGGAAAATAACTAGTCGATTTTATAAGAGATTATTGCGATATAATTTTGATTTAAGGCTGATTTAAAATAAAAAAAATAATTCGGCTATTTTTTAATCGATACAACGATTGCTCCTCCTTATTTATTGTAGGTATTATTTTATCGATTTGTACCCACGTTCTAAGGGCATGTAGCCGAGCCCAAGCCACGCGCTTAAAGGGTTAGGCTTGTTTAAACTTTTAAGGTGTTTGTGCACAACTCAATTGTTATTTGAATGTCAGTTATGATATTAGTAGATGATAGGAAGTTTTGGTGATATTAGAGTATATTGGGGCAGGCTCATTGATCATTTTTTTAAAGAGATCAGCGAACGCCATGCTTATGTCTTGGTCGTACTGCAGATTTTAGTTGTGATATTGCATATATTTAGGATAGCCGGAATTTCTGTGACGTTTATTTTTAATATAAGACCAAACAGCTTTGGGATTTGATTTAATATTGTTTTCAGATTTTTTTTATGTATGCCTTACGAAGTCCCTTCGTTAGTTATTGTTTTCAGATTTTTTTGTATGCTTACGAAGTCCCTTAGTTTTTTGCTCTGGTACGCAGAAGTGCGAAAGCATCATAGTCAATTGGATTATGATGAAGCTTCCAAAAAAGTGTGAAGTTTATTTTTTTCCTTTATGATGTTGATGAGAGCTTTATTATACCGAACAGGATACTGTCGCTTTGGTCTTTGGAACACACATGGGACGTATTTATTAAGGTCATATATTAGACTGTAGAAACACGATACAGCGCCCTCAAGTGACCCTACACTAAGTGTATCCTGCCAGTTTGTCTCCTCTAGATGCTTACAGATTTTCGCATAATCTGCCTTATTATATAAGTATTTAAAATGTCCTTTGTATGACATGCGAGGTGTCACGGTGTCTGCTGCGTCAATTGTGAGAGTGGTATGAAAAACGTCTTCTTGTACAAGTGGCGTAATTGATTTAGTAACTTCTACATTAAAGTTGGTAAATATGAGATCAAGAATATTATCGTATTTGCATGTAAGTCATGTTGGTGAAGACCAAGGATATTAATCTAATATAGTAAGTTCTCTGCAGAGTTCCTCAAATCGATACTGCCCTTTTTTATTAGTGTATAACCATTAGGTGTCCATTGAACATAAGGAAGATTGAAATCGTCACATATCAAAAACAAATCTTCTGACTTTGAGAACATAACGGAAAACAGCAAATCAGTGAAACTTTGTAAGCTTTGGGGCAACATATTGTCTGGAGGAAGGAAAATTGCGCAAATATGTAAATTATGATTAGAGCTCCTATCGTAATCCAGAGACATTCAAGGTTGTCATGTGGGCATTTTCATGGGGGGTTTCAATCGGGCCGATACTTTGCAGAAAACCGTTCCGCAGTCAGAGCCATGATGCCGCCACCACGTCTATTCCCCCTATTGCCGCCTATATAGCTGCAGTATGACTCTACCATGTAAAATAATTGTAAGTTTTACAATTGAAGAAACTTTTTGTGTTGCTACAGTAGCCAATGTTGAGAAAAAATATAAATAGGTCACATTCAAGATCAGAGACATTTTGCGATGGTCATTTTGCAAGCTGTCCGACATTTTCCTTTTTAGAATTTCATAGCATTATAAATTAAGATTTGCTTACCACATACATTCAGTACATATTTATTTTTTTAAGTAAAGGAATTTTTATTTATGGTAATATTGATCAGTTCTTTTTAAAAATCAAAGTATATAACAAATGATTGGGAATTATTTATTTATGTAACACTAATCAATACTAATTATTTATATTTACAACATCACAACACCATTCATAAATGCCAATATCTCGACACCATTATTAACAAATGCATTTCGCCACGAAAAATATCACTTTCACCATACACACATACATACTTAAATCGGGAAATAAATCGATAGACTTTTATATAAAAAAAAAACAAACACGATTGTATAAATTCACAGTGCCAGCGTGGAAATAACAATCAATTCGTCTTAGATGCAGATTTACTACACTAATTGCCTAAATGTTCATGTTAAATATATTTACAATATTAAACTATCAGTCCCGTTAACAATAATAACGATAATTGTGATTATTGTATAGAAACATTACACTTCTTCCAATAAACTGCAATTAATAAATCGTTATATTTCTCCAAACAAAATGGGAATAATATTTTGTAAAATAGTACGATTTTTCCTACAGGTTCATAGTTGAAAACATACCATTCATGAAGTAAACAAATGGTTGCTTGAATAATATTCAGTAAATCCATAATCCTTCTTAATAATTGATAGACTGAGGCGTTACTTTGGGGAAATCCATTATAATAAAGATATTAATTAATTTGCAACCTTCCGCTAACTAAATACAATGATGTGTCTTACCTGGATTGAAGAGCACCTCTCGCCCTCTCTCAATTGCATGCACCAATCCCGGTTAGGATTAATGGTGACGGGATTGCAAATTAATTAATATCTTTACCTTCTTAATAAGTTATTGTTCACTAAATAACAATTAGTAACTAAGTGAATGTTCATTTAAGGTGACCACTGACCAGTGTTCCATCTACAATATGTCGTATTCTACGATAATGGCTCCAAATGAATATCCAGCGCCTGCGGAACTAAAACTGTTACTTTAGCAATATATGCGTGCACTTGAATGAGTATTTCCCTTTCTGTCCACTACAAACTCGATTACTGTTATGCAAATGATGGCACAGCTAAGGGGGATATCATAATGATAATACTGACTTTCCAAAATAAAGATGAATGTTGTGTATTAGGAATTGGTTGCGCGGAAAACCATTCGCGTTTTTTATTTTTGACGGTAGGAATTTGTCGAATCATTATTCCCTTCCGAAACAATATCATTCGTACCCTCCTATCGACACATCGGGGTGGTGGGGTGGGAGGGGAAAGAAGACGATTCTAGAACATCGCGTAATCATCGGACCCGAGGATATATAAGACACGCGCGACCGACGCGCGCTCTCTTCTCCCGCCGCAGTCGTCGTTGAACTACAACCTCCTCTTCCCGCGCGCTCGTTTGGAAACACCTCACTAGTGGGAACCGCTTTGGCCTGGAAGCAGTCGAGCTCCAGGAACCCGCCTCACCTCGTGTGAGATATCGTCGCGCACCGCCTCTCTCCGGAGTGTTCCGGAAGTCGCCGCTATAGTGATCGACAGGAAGAAGAAACCCCGGTGAGTCAATGCTCCTTAATTATACCTGCTTGCTAATAATTTAACCCGCTCCAATTTGTGTTTTTTTCCTAGTCAAGCAGGATTCCTTTCATCGATTCGACAAGTAATAGTTTAGTTTAGGGAAGAGCGAGTGCATTGTACCGCATGCTATAGTAGTCGCTTCACATAAGCATAGAAGCAATCGCATATACAGTCCACTTTAGTTAATATCTCGCGTAATAGGTTTGAGGTTTGACCGGGGAACTAGATTTTCGGCAGCCTTAAACACGTGGCTCCACCAGGAATTGACTTTAAACATAATAAGTATTGCATTTAATTATTATATTAAATAAAATTAAAATTTTCTCTTCCGAACTCTGCAAACTGACAATTCATTACTGGCAGTGCTAAATGTCGTAGAAATCGTTCCACTATAGATAATTATGTACATTTTAATACGAGAACGAAAAAGTATACAATAGATAAATATTTAATTATAAATGAACAACTGCCTGTCCTTTTAACATTATATAAATAATTGCTTCAAAAATATCAAACTTACAAATTAATTAGTATGTTTTAATTTGCACAATTCACGAATTACTAAAGTACTTTACATAAAGATTTATTAAGTTTTTGGTAGAAAATGAATCCATATATTAATGATAACCTGGTCATTAAATTTTAATAAAGTTTTTTAAGTAATTTCATATAACATTCTTCGGCACAACAGTTAATGAAAACCATTCCCACATTGGTTCTGTGAACAAACTTAATATTAAACTTGGCTCATAGATCATGAGGTCTTCGTTGTAGGGGCTGAAGGCTCTGTGCTTATGTCCACAAGTGTGGTCTCCGGCACTGACTGAGGATTTGAGCTGGAAGCCTCAGCTGTCTCCACCGTGGAGAATTGAGGGATGACGTGAGAGGCTTGCATTTTCCTCACAGCGTCCATATTCACTTTGGTCGTTAGATTCTTCTGTCGCGTTTGTTCGGACGTCTTTGATAATCTTTCGCTCAAAGCCTTGAGCGCGATTTGCCTGTAATAGAAATATTGATATAAATTACACATGAGATAGTCAGCACTTCATATAAGATTAGAAGCTGTACCGGCGTGCTGCGTGATGAAATCTATGTATAAAAACTACTATGATACAGGAGAAAATCCTAGTATATGAGTAACGCTTCTTAAGAAGTCAAGACATGCTATGTGATTGGAGATCCGGAGAGTTAGTTGCAAGGTATTTCGAGGGCATGCCAACCAAAAAATGGGAACGTACAATATTCGATTCTTAAAAAAAGCGATATCGATTATTTAGAGTTGATAATCATTTACAGTTTGGTTTGAATAACACCAGAATAAATTTAAAACGGGTAATTTAAAACACAAGATTTATCAATAGTTCCTGCCATTGATGTATTATGTACTACGTACTAGAGGCGACACTGCATTCAGCTACTCTGTTCCACTCAACTGCGGTGCATACACCGCACTTTAATCAGTCACTCGCTAGGCGCTTGTAGAGGCGTCACGTGTTGTGTTGATTTAAAAAAAAACTCTTGATAAAAATATGCCGCCGTGTGTACTTAGGTATTGCACAAATAATTCAAGGAATGTCAGTAAAAACCATTGAATTACTTTTCATCGGTTAATAAGATGCTTAATGAATAAAAAGGATTATAAATTAATAATAAAACAAATTATTCCTAAGATGCCATCATAGAATATAGATTATGAAATTAATTTGTTCAGATGCGACATTTCTGTGGGTACTTAAGTATAGGACGAATATAAAAAATGTGTATTATACACATTTTTTTGTAGAAGTTATCATAATTAGGTTGATTTGTTTTATATTTAAACCTGCCCATTATTCTTTTATTTTATTTTTAGCTTTCCACATTAAAGTCAAGGTGGAATAACTTCGTACATTTTTTAACTTTCGCGTGCCCAGCATTTATGGACGACTCCTATTCTAATTTAAATAAATATAAATGTTAATAAGTTTTGATAAATATACGTTTAATTTAGTATGTTTTTTATATTTAACATAGGTACCTTTTAAAATATTCAGATAAAAATATCATTAAATGTAATTGTGATATAATATTATGTAATATTATATTAAATAAGCAAATATAATATACAAAATAAATGACAAAATTTAAATATTGTTCTCGATATAATTTATTTAAATAACAATACAATCTACTATTACCTACGGATAATTCTACCTATGTTTATTCTATGATAAAAAAACCAACCGCGCGAACACAGAGTAGCGCACATTTTTTGTTTGAGATAGCTGTTCTAGTACTTAACTACATATTACTTCAATGGTTCCTACGTATTTTTTGTTACTGCTTATTTCTAGACGCAGTTATAAAAATTTAAAACTAAAACTGTATTAAAAATAAATTTATTAAATCACTTTCAGTACAACTAGTTGAGTTGTCGTTATTTAGATTAATTATTATTTCATTTTCAATAATGCAGTCAAAATTAATGTCTCTTTCAAAGTCATCCATAATTTTTTTTTGTTTTTTCTGTTTTTTTTTTTCACTTTTCCAAATGATCCTTTGTGACATGGGCACATGCTTCAACGAATGTGGAAGAAACAGTCCAAAAAAGTTAAAGCCGAGTCACAAAATAAGAAGACAAACACAAAGTGCAAAATTACGCTCAGTTATAAAAATTTAAGATTAAAACTGGATTAGAAAAATTTATTCAATCACGTTTACAGGAAATGCTATACCGCTGGAAAATATTCCAATTTTAAGTGGTAACAATACAATTTCCGCTCTAAATATAAGTTCAATAGGATATCGCTCAGAAAATGAAATAGAAATCAATAACTCCAGTAATAACTTAGAAGACTCACATATTCAAGATAACTGTGACATATTATCGTTGGAGCTCAATGAATCCGAATGTAGATCCGAATATGTCGATCAAATCGTGGGATATATAGCTGGAAACGTGGTACGCCATTTAGTAAAAACTATGAAATGTGACGCATGTGTAAATAGTTTATTAGCTCGAGATAGGCTTTTTTTTCACAAACTTATTGATATAAGAAACCTCGGGGGACTGTTTTTTTCATCTCTAGATGTATTTCTTGTTTGCAAAAAAACAGAAGTTGCAATTAGACACTACCACATGTGTACTAAGAAGAATTTTGATATTTCTCAAATTTGCAGCATGGTATTGTCATCATTTTTAGGTGTCGACATATTTTCATCCAAGTGTCACGATAATAATCATAGAGTTATTACAATAAAATCGATTACTGAACGGTACCTTAAAGTAAGATTACATTACATAGCAAAAAAAGATACGGAAAAAAATAAAATTCTATCTAAAAGACGATTATTTAATAAACTCATTTTATTTCAAGGAAATTAATAACATAATTATTCTGTCTTATCCAGTATTGTTTTGTAACCTCTGTAAATATGAACATTACGTCAAAATTTTGCACAATAATATTTTTAGATTTTACAACTTTCTGTACATACTTTTTATATTTAGTAACCATGGAATTTAGATTTAATAATAAGATAATAATTTAAGCAATACTTTTAATTTTTTTTTAATTAAATAAATAATTATGACTGTTTTAAGTACTTTCATTTCTAAATGTATGTGGTATCCTATTCAAAAACATATTTACATTCAGGTTAATTATATGCATTACACATAATACACCAATTACTACACCAATTTTTAAAAAAAATTAACAACATTAAAATTTTAAAATTACAGTAACAAAAATATTGGGCAGTTCGACTCCCTTATTCCTTGTCCAAGCGACGAGCCTCGGTCGTAAAATTTAATTTCTTTTTTATTGGCACTTTGTAATTCTGACTTTAAAACATGCGTGTAAGGATGAATTTGTTTTAATATAGGTTGAGCAGCAGGTACAGTCATAAAAATTTATTGCTTTTTGTACGTAGCTTTGTGAATACTACTATACACCATGCATTTAAGGTTTAATTTACATTAATGTATGTTTTTTCGACTAGAATTAGTCGTTGGGGACAGTTTTTAGAGAACTTTTGTATGGGATTGTTGTATCTAGTTTAATATTAGTGATCGATCTAAACACTATAAAGGTAAAGTACATAGCGACATATTGAAACGACGCGACGTCAAGTAAAAAAGTTGATACCGTTTTTTTTATATATTTTGTTTTGTTTGAAAGATTCGAATTTAAATTAGTGATAGAAACTATACACATTGTAATGAAATATAGATAACTTCATAATTCTTCAGATTTACGTAAAAGGTTATTTTAAATCGTGTGAGTACGCATGTGCAGTTATTGCGGAATTGATGTGAAACGTCAAAAGGTATTTCTTAGATTTGGTTGACTATAGTTGTAATTGCTACGATCGCCAATTAAGGCAGACAAAGGTTTTATACCATACAGCCTAGTTTGATGAGTATTTCGTTAACTTTTCTCAATATAAGAGGAATAAGTCGCTCGCGTCCGTAGGCTTTGTCCACATTATTCTAGGCCCACCCTACACGTGTCCCCCGGGTGGTGCTAAATGAGCGACAAGCCGATAGCACAGACTCGGCTCTTCGCCGTGGTAGCGGCGTAAAATATACTACCCTATATTTCGCACTATGAGGAACCGAATAAAAAAATGGCCCCGAGTTCCCGGCGCCCTTTTAATGAGGCAGGGGTGCGAAGAATATCCGGGAGGAAAACCGGCGACGAGGTTCGAGGAGAAAAGTGGATTGCAGAGGCCCTGTCTGGCTACATTGAATGTATGTGGAGCAATGAATGATAAAATGGATGAAGTATGCGATATGATGTATGATAGAGGAATAGATGTGTTATGTATAAATGAGATAAAATGGAAGGGGAAGGATGTCACTACACATGACATGTATACCGCATAATGGTCTGGGGTAGACGAGATCGAGCGGGCATGCCAGGAAGTAGGTATCATCCTTTCAGAAAGAATGGGCCAATGTGTGAAAGAGTATGAATGTTTAAGCCCAAGATTGCGATGGATACGAATGAAAGTGGGCTTATAGAAGTTGTTTGTGCTAGGGGTCTACGCCCCAGACATGTCTAAGCCCACTTATATTTGAGAGCAGTTTTGGGAAATGTTAAGGATGGTGTTAATGAAATGTAAGGAAAATGAAAATGTTATTATGCTAGGAGATTTTAATGGAAGGGGGGAGGAGGCTTGGTTATGAAAGGATATTGGGAACGTTTGGTGATGAAAGCATAAACGAGAATGGTGAAAGCCTCCTCACCGTATGTATGGAAAATAATCTTTTTGTGACGAACACTTGCTTTCGCCACTAGAGGATTCACATGTATACTTGGGAAAGAGGTGATGATAGAAGCATGATAGATTTCATAATTGTGGATGAAAGAATGAGGGGCGCAGTGGTAGATACAAGGGTTTACCGGGGGTCTAACGTAGGAACAGATCAATATTTGGTTTTATGCTGAATTAATGGTCTATTCAGGCGTTGGCTCCATTGGTCATCTGTGTCTACCACTGCGTTACAGCGTATTAGAACAGAAAGGCTACAAGAGGAAGGTGAGAAATAGAGACTGAAATAAAATATAAGTGGTTTGGATGAATTATGTATGAATGAGTTAGACTTGAAGAATGTATGGCAAAATGTTAAGAAAGGTTTAGTGGATGCAGCTACCGAAGTATGTGGTGTAAGTAAGAGAAAGAATGAAAGGAAAAATAATACGTTATGGTGGGATGATGAGATACGTATGGAAGTTGAAGCAGCGAAGAGAGCATGGCTAGATTTACTAGCAACAAAGGCTGGTAATTCTAGCGGTACGAATAATGATATTGAAAGAAAAAAGGCAGTCTTTAGACATCTAAATAAGAGAGTAAAAGAAGTAGTTAAAAGGAAAAAGCAAGAAAGAACAGATAAGAATGATAGGAAGAATATCAGATAACTTCCAGGCGAATATTAAAATGTTCTGGAAACTCTTAAGAACTGCCGAGGACATTCAAAACAGCTTATAATGAATGCTATAAGAGACGAGAATGGATTTATTCTGAATGATGAAGTTTTGAGTTTAAAGAGATGGAAGGAATATTTTGAAAGCGTGTTTATGAGTGAGGAGACAACGTATGAATTAAATGAAGTAGAAATTCCGAAAGAAGAGGAAAGAGGTAGCGAGATAAGTATAGATGAAATAATGAAAGCAATGAAAAAAAATTAATTTATGCTGGGAACTTAAGCGGGTACCGGTAGACTGGTGCAAAACCGTGATAGTCCCAGTATATAAAGGATAAGGGTCGCAATAGGACTGTTGAGCCCTCCTTTCTGCCAAGGAGGGTCGCGTCCGTATACGACTTAGAGATCTCTCGTCAGATCGGTAAGCCAACCCATAAAGGTGGGGTTTAGTGGGTAAAAGTCTCCACATAACCACGCAGCCGGCTGCGTGGTATGCTATGAGCATTCCCCACCTCCTTGCCCCGTTTTCCGGAGGGTTGCCCATATTTCCTTCGGGCGCAAAAAAAAAGCAGGACTGTAAAAACTACCGTGGTATCAGCCTTCTTAGCATTGTGGGAAAACTGTATGCTAAGGTACTGATTGAAAGGGTCGTGAAAGAAACTGAAGGAAAAATTTGGAATGTGCAAGCGGGATTTAGAAAGGGAATGGGATGTACAGATCAAGTCTTTTCTATGCACATAATCGCAGAGAAGTTTTTGGCCAAAAACCAAAAGGTTTTTTGTGCGTTCATGGACTTGGAAAAGGCCTATGACAGAGTGGATAGGGATGTGCTATGGCAAACACTGAACTCATTTAGGTTGAGTGCTGGCTTGATACAGGCATTGGAGTCTCTTTATAGAGACTCTAGTGCTTGTGTTAGGATCAACGGGGTCTACTCGGATTGGTTTGGCATCCATAAAGGTGTCAGACAGGGCTGTGTGGCTTCCCCGTGGCTGTTCAACCTACTTATGGACAGTTGTTTGCAAAATTTGAAAGTTGAAGAATGCGGATTAAGAATGGGTGAGTTAACCGTCAAATTCCTTTTGTACGCCGATGATCAAGTTATTCTTGCGTCATCGGCAGCCGAGTTGCAAATTTAAATAAAAAACTTTTAGTGATCTGTTCATTAATGGTTACATTAATGAACAGATCACTAAAAGAAAGGGGTATGAAAGTGAACGCAAGTAAGACGAAAAATGGTTTTTGAAAGAGAAGAAAGTAAAACGACATGTGAAATAAGAATAGAAGGGAAGTTGATCGAGCAAGTAGATGAGTTTGTATATTTGGGTAGCGTATTTAGCAGGGATGGGAGATGTGATAAGGATATAGAACGACGAGTGAATGCAGGCAATAGAGTAAATGGGGCCCTACACTCTATTGTGAAGAGTCAAAATGTGTCGAAAAAGGCACGTATGGCAATTCACAATGCTGTGTTGGTCCCTACTTTAACGTATGGTAGTGAAAGTTGGGTGTGGCAGAAGAAGCACGAGAGTAGAATGAACGCAGTAGAAATGCGGTCGTTGAGGAGTATGTTAGGGCTGAATCTGAATGACAGGGTGAGAAATTGTGTGATAAGAGAAGAGTGTGGTTTGCAAGATGATGTTGTGACCAGGATTAAGAAAGGAATGCTTCGGTGGTTTGGTCATGTGGAAAGAATGAATGAGAAAAGAATGACAAAGAAAATTTATGTTGCAGAAGTGAATGGCAGAGTCGGAAAGGGACGTCCTAGGCGAAAATTTATCGACCAAATTGGGGATTTATTGAAAACGGACCAAATTAGGAGCACCCTTAACCGACGAGCATGTATGCGTAGGTATATGGATGTGAAGGAGGCGAGAGAGGTGTGTCAGGATCGTGCCAAATGGAAGTCTGTAGTCTCTGCCTACCCCTCTGGGTGACAGGCGTGAGTGTTTATGTTTCTCAATATACTAATGCGTTATTTTAGGACTCCCTCTATGCTAGTAATTGCTCTTAGAAAGGATAATTGAAAATTATATTTAGTTGCTGTTGTAACAATTTGCAAAAGGCATGCAAAATTCTTATATCATAGATACAGCTTAGTATGATGTGAATTTTGCTCAAACTGGAATGTCTTTAATTCCTAACTTCTTGTAGTAGTGACTTATAAAAAATTGTTCATGGCCGCGCGCGCACACACACACACGCACACACACACACACACACACACACACACACACACACACACACACCACGCACGCACGCACGCACGCACGCACGCACGCACGCACGCACGCACGCACGCACGCACGCACGCACGCACGCACGCACGCACGCACGCACGCACGCACGCACGCACGCACGCACGCACACAGCACGCACACACACACACACACACACACAGTAAGTTCACAGTACACGCAGCACGTACCGCCTCCTCTCCATGTCGTGCGGCTCGACGCCGGGCAGCGAGATGGTGACGCCGCGCGGGCTGAGCGCGAGCGTGACGCGGCGCGGTGCCGGCGCACATACGCCCAGCCGCGCCAGGCAGCGCGACACCGGCGTTAATGCACCGCGTACCAACGGCTGCACCACCGTCGGGAAGAAGCTGCCACCACACGAAAAAGAACAAACTATTATTTAAAGGACAATAATAATAATATGGATGATGGAAATTTTGAATACGTGCAAAGGGCCGATGTCTAGAGGTCGCCAGAGCGTGTCTGGAGCCGGCACTGGAAGCGACAGAATGCGAACCGCCAGCCGAGTGCGACGGGCTACACGACCACCAAGCAGACCCTCGCCTCCATCATCCCCATCAGCTGGCTTGGTGGCGAAAGGGCCTTCGCAGACTCAGCAATTGACACCCGCCACTGGTGGAGTACGCCGCTTGCGATGGACAATCCAATTGAATAGCAACGCATTGCGGGCGTATTTTAAGGCGAAGGCGGAGAAGTTGGAGGTTTTGCGTACCGGACTAGGATGCTTTTTTGCTGAGCTGACTGGAACCATCTACAACCGTCAATGAGCAAAACCTAGCAGACCGAGTTCGGTACACCTTGCGCTCAAACATAACTAATGGCGCCGTACTCGAACGACTATGGCGTGAGGCTGTTCCCTCATAGGATGAAAATGCTACGGCTGGGGATGTGGCGCCACAAGCTGCTGAGCAACCCGCACTGCACGTGCATGCCACTGTGGATCTTCCAGTTGTGGTTGATTCAGACGATAATGGTCCATAAACTATAGCAAAAGAGGAGCACATTGAAAAAGGCGATTTCGAAAATGCGCAGTACGCCTCCCAAAAATCAGCCGCAACTTCCCCGCAAACCTCTAAGCAAGCGGAATCGGGCTGTCATGAGGGCTCTAAGCCCAATGCTGATGACCTATTGGGAAACCAGCCAGGACCTTTTCAATAGTTTGCCGTATTATCGGCACCTGACTTCTCACGGCTAGACGCGCTACTAGACAAAGTATCACTACTAGTAAAAGTATCACAGCAGTACGACCACATCGCAAAGGCAATGGCCCTTATAGACAGACTGACAAGCTTCAGGTCAGATAATAATAGGTCGGGAATTGTACGCTCCGTTAGAATGGCGTTTGCTGGGAAAAACATGATGTTTAACCCCAAACGCATATCACACAGAAACCAACTGAGTGCTTTGCTACAGGTCATCTATTGGTTGACAAAGTAGAAACGCTACTTTGGGGAAGCGGGTTCGTCGATACACCGAGAGGTCAAGGTGCTTCATTTATTCAAGAATTATCTCTTCAAGAGTGATCAGAACCAATGGTACATGCTACTTAGTATGACCAAAGGTATGTAGGACGGGCCCAGCAACAAATCAAGTAAACACTGTCGCATTCTGGAGCAGTGTGGTCAGACACCGTAAACCACAGCAAGGGCCCTTGGAAAGAAGTTGTGGCGAGCCAGTGTGCAAATGTTACACCCATGGACCCGGCGGATGATGTAGCTGAAGGGGTCTGAACGAATCGACGGGTTGCATCACTACTGGTTGAAAGGGTTCATGGTGTGTCACATGCTGTGCTCGCCTTTCTTGTTTAGCAGTATTAAGGTTGATGTTGTCTACTGATCAAGTATTATTTCGCTCTACAACACTTCATTAAATGAATGTTAGAATTGGTCAAAGTTGATCTTTGTTTTCAATAAGAAATTCGTAACTAAAGCCATCTTGACAGGGAGCTTTATCCTTTTTTTGTTTTTACAGCTTTTTCTACTTCTGCAGATATTATATCTAGTATTTCTTCCCCGCCTGTTACATATTTGTCTGGCTGTTGTTTTTATTTGCATACAACTCTCGGAAAATGTCGGTGGCTATTGTGTTAATTTCGGGGCGTTTGGTTTCACTAAACAATCTAATTTAATATAATATGTATTACTTGTGAGATACATTGTGTTTTCATGCGATGGCCAAGTCAATCTATATATTTAAAACATAAAACATATGGTCACTATAAAATGTTGTTAGGTTAGCTAATTACGTAATAACTTAAAACAGAAGGAACCTTAAATAGGGACCGAATAAATTAACCGACTTGGTATTACATGGATCTCACAACTTTTTACAGTAAAAGAACTGAGTTGCGAGACTTGTTTTTTTTTACAAGTTATGTTTTTGATGGCATTAGATTGTCGAAAACAATGTGTGTGGTTTATAAAACATAGAACTAGTAGTTTTGGCCGCTCACAGCGGACTAAATAAGTTATGACGAATTGACAGCAACTTAGTGAGCTAAAGTATTAGTAATGCCCGTCAAGTAGTATACATAGAAGTCTTTGACATTTTCTAGCTAATATATGGCAAGCGAATGACACGTGAATATCTAATAGATGACGAAGTTTCGGTTTTGCGACTCAGTTATTGCCACCTGTCTCAACGGAGACTAGGAATCTACACAGAACAGGGTTATAGTGCCAGAGTGTAAGCAAAAGCACATGTGCACTCTCTATTCGCACACTCTCATAGTCCAATGTGACGGCAATCCGACACGATCGAAGAGAGAACTGGCGCAGGACCAACGACTTTACATGCTTTCTGAGGCAAGGGGGATTAGGCACTATAATTTTCCTAACTCCGGGCTATGCAAGTGAGAATTTTTTGATGGAATGAATGGAACTTCACTAATTTTTTTGGCCCGGTCCTTAATACAAATCCAGAATCTCACGATCAGCAACTGCATTTACGACCACTGGACCAACGACTTTAATGCAAAGATAATAAGCAAACCGCCGTGTACAGATTAAAATATAGTAAGGTCTACTTAATTAAGATTATCGATATCAATCATGTAAAAAAGTACTCACCAACTTTTAAAAGGTACTAATTATGGGAGAGTTGGTCCGCTCGGTTTTCATATACTTATGAGTATTCACTTTAGTTAGTTACACTGTGTAGAGGTGATGCAAGAAGATCCAATATCCTATATCATCTCGAGAGTGTTGTAAATGTAGACAGAGGGATTTGGAACTGGAAATGGGCTGCAGTTACTTTCTTAACACCCTGAAATCTTAAAATCAATGAGGCCTACGTTCAGTAGTGCACTTAATATAGACTGTAATTAGTTATTGAATGATATTTATATTTACTTACAAAATACACAGCTTTATACAATGAATCATGTCGCTTGTATTAGAAATATTAGATTTACAAATGCCGTTTGGATAATAAAATTTTGTATCGATAAGAGCAAATGTATAAAAAAAAAATAGATATTATTTCAGTACTGGCATTAATTTATATAAAATTGGATTTTATTTTTTATAATATCTCATTTGGTTTACCAAAGTGCAACAGTTATATTATCATTACATAAATTAAGAAAAATAATTAAACATGCTTACTTGTCAAAACTAAAGTTGTCAGCCATATCTCCTCTTGTGCCACTGCTATGTCGCTGCCAAAATCTAAGGTATATCCATGATAGAATAGTACCACTTCCCCACATGCAGGGATATGTGCCTTCTAATGCTCCAACAGCCCATAAAATTATAGCAGCCACCAGAATCAGAAGTGGTAAGGACCGATTTGTTAATTTTCCTGGAAATGAAAAAAACAATTAATGAGTTTATGTAATGATTCTATTAGAAATTGTTAAAACTTCTTTAAGTTTCTTAAGCTTTTCATATTAAGTCCTTTATGCAAAAAAGGTGTAGTTTTAAGCCTTTTTAGACCAATCACTATTGTGAACTATGGCAATATCTTCCCTATGATGCAATCTATGGGGGACTGCTATATTCAACTGTGGACTTTAATAGGCTGTAATGGTAACAAAGACATTTTGGTCCATAAATATAGTATTTATGTCTACAGCACCACCTATCATATATTAACATAGCTATGAACAAGCCTCTTGAAAAAATATTAAAATTGAAAAACATTGTGTAAACATGACTTTAATTGGTCAAGTCATATTTTATTGTTTGGTAGAGATATATATTACCAACTCTAAATAATCGATATTGATTTTTTTAAGAATTGAATATTGTACATTATAGGTTGGCATGCTTAGTGCAATAAGTCTGACAGCTGTCAAAATGTATTTCTTAGATTTGGTTGACTACAACAATATAAAGATGCCCTAAAAATCACTTGAGCCATAGTAAATAAGCCCATAATCCAAAAAATTATAGCGGGCCTTTATGTGCCGGTGGGACATACATGAGTAGTGGTAGTAAAAAATTACTTTCAATAATATTATAATACTATTTAATACATCCTTACATACATAAGAGCCGTGGTAGCTCAGATGGTTAACGCTCGCTGTAAATATAACAGAATGCGAGTAACCTGGGTTCAATCCCCACCGGCACCAATGAAATTGTTAATTGCAATTTTAAGTGCTGATTTACCACGCGCTCGGCGGTGAAGGAAAATATCGTCAGGAAATTTGCATGTCTGAGGAATAAGAAAAAAAAATATTTCGAAGACATGTGAAGTTCGCCAACACGCATTGGGGCAGCGCGGCAGACATTTCCTTGCCCTAAAACCCTCTCAGAAATGAGGGGGGGCCTGTGGCCAGCAGTGGGCCGTATATAGGCTATATAAAAAAATACATATATACACACTCACATCTGTCACTCTGAAGGATGGGCAGAGACTACAGAGTTCCATTTGACACAATCTTGACACATCTCTCTCACCTCCTCCACATCCATATACCTTCGCATACATGCTCGTCAATTAAGGATACTCTTAATTTGGCACATTTTCAATACATCGCCCATTTGGTCGATAAACTTTCCCCTAGGGTATCAATTTGTTTTATCACTCTTTTCTCATTCATTCTTTTTACATGACAAAACTACCTAAGCATTCCTTTATTAATTATGGTTACAACATTATCTTGCAAATCACCCAATTTTTCACCATGTCACTCAGATTCAGCCCTAACTTATTAACTTAATGACCTCATTTCTACTGTATTTATTCTATTCTCATGCTTCTTTTGCCACATCCAACTTTCACTACCACATGTTAAAGTAGGGACTAACACAGCTATAATCTATATTGAATAAAAATATTTCTATTCTATTTTATAATAATCAATTTTTGTTTTATTATATGCGAGCAGCTATGCAGGTCTAGGTAAAGAGACCAGTATTACTGCGACCTAAAAGATCTATTGTGATCGCTGCTATGGCTATAGTTCACTGCTAAGCCCTATGTCTTCAATGAATCGAAGGAGTTGCTTAGCCGTGAGCAATTTCACTTCCCAGATGAGTGTTACGTTTGCACATTAAGGGTTTGCAATAGGTTAGGATGAGAGGCATTTCTTCCGTTATGGAACAGAACGGCCACATCATTTAGTTGCTTAGTCCCAGGATGAACATGTGCTTTTTAAGACAACTGTTATAATAATCTAATCTTAAATGATAATATCAAACATGAATCAATAATAAAAATGAGATTGGAAAAATTCATACCAAGATTCCCAAAAAATATATTACAGTTATTTAGAAGTAAAAATTAAACAATGAAATTACATTTATGTGTACATGCAAAAGCCATTTCTCCTTATCACTATAGATTGATACTACAATAAAGATTATTTATTGAATTAACATTATTTCTGCTTTCATTTTAAACCATTACTTATATTTTATGTAAACATAAAATTGGTTTTATAGTTTCTAATAATGAATAAAGTAACAAGTTATCTTTTACATGTTTAACAAGGCCTTACATCATATTAACATTACATTTCTTTTTATTACTAATGCTTATCAAATGACTTGTCCCAGTTGACCAAAATTTGCACAATGTTAGAAACAATTATAAGAAAAACAAACAACTATAGCAAATATTCCTCTAATAAGGCAATTTATCGGGGAGGCCTGTGTTCAGCAGTTGACTTTAGTGGGCTATAATGGTAACAGAACTATTTAAAATCAAAATATTACAAAAACTTGTAAAGTTAAACATTATTTAAGTATAGAATTACATACAAATAGATAGTGCTTACTGCACCCAAAAAAAATAATTACATTTATGTAATATTATTGTGTATTGAAATAGGCCTTCCTCATAGGGGAGGACGAATATTTAACATGGCTAATTTTATACTATCATGGTCACCTCGTCTGGAAAATCAAAAAATCATTTGATGCCAATGATTTTTTTTAAATCCATGTCTTTAAGGCAGATTTATGGAAAAAAATATGGAAAATATCTCACCTCAAGATTTCATATAGTTTTATGACTTTAAAAGTGATCATAAACACACTTCTTCAAATATAATAGTTCATAACTTTTTTGCAAAGCATTAAACGATGTTTATATTTTTTTTTTGTTAATCTAGACAAAAAACCGACATTTAAAAAATAAAGAATAATTGGAAAATGTTTGTTTATTAATTTTTTATCTCACTTAAAGTTTTTATATGGTTTTCTGACTTTAAATGTTATCATAAATGCTCTATATACGAACGAAATAATGCTAAAAGTTAATATTTTAGTGTTTGAGTGTAAGATCGAACAAAGCAAGCTCAGGACTTAGGGCATCCCAACTCGGACAGGTTAGATTAGAAGGAGATGGCAGGGTTGAGTGAGCGATCGAATAGACCCTGCCATCTCCTTTGTGGTCGTCGACCAGGCTGCCCTCAACTGCGCTACGGGAGAGAGTTGGGAGAGGGAAGCACCACGCCACTCAACATAGCGCAATAGAGGAAAGCCCGGTCGACAGAGCCCCGCTTCACGGGGCTCTTACTTCTGAGTGATTTATGAGAAATTAACCATGGAGATGGAGAGGTCTATTCGCTCGCTTTGCTCGCTCACTCAGCTTGACTCACTTATTTTTAGTATCATTATAGATATTGTTATTACTATTTTATTAATATTATTGTAACTACAATTTTTATTATTATTATATGTTTGTGTATGTATTATTATGGGGTATTAATACTGTATTCTCATCTGGTTGGGCTGAAAAAATATATAAAAGGAAATAAATACATAATACATAAATAAATAAAAGCCCAACCAGATGGAGGCCCTCGGCAGAGGATACCAAACAGCCAAGGGTTAGGGGGAAAAGTAAAGAAACCAATGCACAATGCGGGCGGTATTGAGGAACACTGCATTCTGCATTTGAGCCTAGAACGGTCCGTCACGGAGTCCCAGCTGCCTCAGATGACCCGAGAGGCAGACTGGGATTAGCCCGTTTGCAGAAACAACTACAGGAATAATTTCAGTCGGCAGACCACCTCACATATCGGTCAACTCATGAGCCAGGTCCAGATATTTTGTTTGCTTATCTGTTTCGGCTTTCACAAGGTTCTAGTCATATGGAATATTATTAACTATTGGCACGCAGTTGAGACAGCTGTATGCCTGTATCCTGTTTGTGCCCATTCGTTACTCCTTTTGCAGTTCAGAAAATGATTATCTTATCTATTTTTAAAATGGTTTACATTTTGGGCTTACACTTAGACTTAGCTAAGGCATACACACTGCTAACCATCTCTTGGTTTGATTACCTCTGTCACCTCTTACCACACCAATGGAACCATATGAAGTGGAGTATTCTAACACGGCCACAACCCAGTAATAACTACATACATTGATGCCTAAAATTAAAAGCTTAGCAACGCTTATTTACAAGAAATCATAACCATTACTTAACTACATTCAGCTATTTTAAAACTATTAGTCAATATTAGTATACAAATAACAAAACTCTTAGTTTCTACTTTGAAATAAATGCTTTGATAAAATTTCAACATACCCAGAGGTGTTTTTATCAATAAGTGGTCAGGCATTATCTGCTTTACAGCTACGCTTACAGCTGCAAGGTATCCTGCAAGTCCGTGAACGTGGATATCGAATAATAGAGACGTATCTTGCGTCCAAGCATAAATCACTAAATAGTAAAAAGTTGTCAAAAATGCAACACCAACATTTATCAGAAAAAAGAACTTCATCATTTCCATTTGTCCCCATAGTGGCTCAATTAGTTTTCCACACAAACCAACCGTCACAATGTCGATTATCACCTCCCACAGATGTATCTCCAAAAACCAGAACGTGAAAGTAGACCACAGTTGAAAAGAAGGAGGCAACAAAAACCCTGGTGTAACACTAAGAACATTAACAACAGTATCTGAATAAGATAATATATATCCTATGATTACAACGACACAAATAAATTTAACTGACGGCGATGTGTTTCCTAATAATGCAGAAAATTGTTGTCGCAAATATGGTATATTACGACTAAACACCCTGAGCGCAGCCATTTTTGTGACGGACGGTGACGGATGACAGCTGACGGTTAAGCAAAACTGCCAAGTGTCAAACTCAAAGCGCAGTCCGTTTCACGCGTAGACAGAGAAACCTATAGAAATTGACGCCTTCTTACGCATTCGCACACGAAAAAGATAGATTTAAGCATACGTCTTGCATAGAAATGAGATAGAGCGGTGTGACTGTTTGTCCCTTTCTCCGTGCCGGTTTTTTACAATTTTAACAGCGTAGCGATTTAAGGAGTTTACAAGTTGCTTTAAATGACAAAAAAGTGTTTTATGAGCTTGAGATTGGTGAATCTTGTTCAGTTCAGTTCTTAGAACAATTAAAATTTTTATCTAAATGTGTTCAAAAGTCATAAAGATTATTGTATAACCTAAAAATTCGTTATCGTCCTTTCTCACTCGAGGCCACGCCGATCATTAGTCTATAGGTTTCTCTGTCTACGGTTTCACGTTCTTCTCAATGGTTTCACGAAAGAAGTCCCGCGAAAAAAGTGCGGACTATAATATGGACATATAATATGGAATATGACACCTGATGTCAAACTTTGCATATACTGTGGTGCCGCGGCTAAGGGACTTCTTTCGTGAAACGTACTCACCATTCAACCTAACGAGTAATACGCCTAATGTATAGACATACTGTCCGCGCGCGAGCTCCGATGAATCTTAAGGAATGTTGACATAATAAGCTAGATTTGTGATTTAGTCGATATTACGTTATCGATAATAACACAATATCTTTAGAATCCGTGAGCGTGCATTAAATTAATAGTTATGAAATAATAATTGTTTGAGGCTAGTGCCTATGTATAATAATGTGCATGGAAAAAAACAAATGGTATAAAATTTAGTGATATGAACTGTACAAAATTCAGAACGTTAAATTGAATTATTCACTCTAGCAATCAGAATAATCACTACTTAAATAATTTGATGTACTATCATCGTCACTCTCCTCACGTACTTCGATAATCTTCTTTAGTTACTTGCGTGATAGCTTGTTCGGTAATCTCCTTCAGTCTCATCAGAGGAAAATCAGAACGAATGATATGTTCCCTCACAATCACAAGCCATTTAACTTTTGCCCATGCAAGCTCTATTGGGTTCAAGTCGCACATATAAGGTGGCAAATGCAGTACATCGTGACCATGGCCATTTATAAGTTCGTACAATTCAAATATTTTTTCAAGAGTTTTATTTTGTTGGATTAATGCTGAGACTGGCCTGTATATTATTCTTGGTGAGCCAATCTAACATAGCTTGTTTTGCACTGGATTTGAGGGGTACCTTATAATCTTGCACGCTGTGATAGGGCGCATTGTCCATCACTACAATGCTGTTGGAAGGTAAGTTCGGTAATAACATTTAGTTGACCAACTTTTCGAAGTTCACACTATTCATCTGCCCACGATAGTCACCAGTAACTGTGCCAGCTTTAAAAAGTAGTTTGGCTTCGTCTATAAAGCCGTTATTCGATCCTGCATGGATTAAAATCAATCTATTCGAATATTTTGTCATTGCACGCATGTTTCGTCTGGGAAAAATATTAGACTATCGTTTAGTCTAAATTTACGTATTTTTCTTAAACAAATACATCGAACAAAAATAATATTTTGCTTCTCAATCAAAATTCTCTTTTTGCTGTGGCATTTCTGCCATTTGTTTCAACAACTTTCTCAGACTCGTTACAGCTCAAGAAAAATGAATTTTCTCTTGTAAAGCTTTCAGCGATTTTTTTTGGTTAAATAAAACTCTTCAATGCGGCGATGAATTACTAACATTTAAATCTTTCTTTCTCGGATACTTTTTCCTTTTTTTTAGATGGCGATTTCAGATGTACTTGCAGGTCTTCAGGCTCTTTCTTGATATTGCTTAACACACTTTTAGACAGAACTGTGAATATACTCCTTGATCGAGTCGAGTGCCTGGTTAACAGTAAACGTGAATTTGTTAGATCTTTTTTCTTCTTCACACTTCGAAAGAACGTGTTTTGCCATTTCGCGGGCTTGTCATCTAATTATGAAGGATTTTTCCTCTGCTGTTTTCATTGCTTGTACTCGCCATTTCTTTTTCGTCGAAATTAAACAGCTATTTGCAAACACAAAAAACTTTTTGGTTTAGTCATACTTAAAGTGAAGCCGTGGTAGCTCATATGGTTAGCGCTCGCTGTAAATATCACAATACGCGAGCAAACCGGGTTTGATCCCCGCCGGCACCAATGAAATTGTTAATTGCAATTGTAAGTGCTGATTTACCACGTGCTCGGCGGTGAAGGAATACATCGTGAGGAAACCTGCATGTCTGAGGAATAACAAAAAAAAATTCGAAGACATGTGAAGTTTGCCAACACGCATTGGGGCAGCCCGGCGGACACTTCCTTGCCCTGAACCCTCTCAGAAATGAGGGGAGGCCTGTGACCAGCAGTGGGACGTATATATGCTGTAACTTTACTTTACTACTTAAAGTACAAAGTAACACTGTTATCGCAAACTTAAAAAAAGAACTCAATAAACGTACTCTCGCGTCGAGGTCAATACTAGTACTAGTAGCGCGGACTATATATAAAACATATGGACCTGGCATACCTAAAAGAAAAACTTGCATACCTACACTTTGCTGAGAGGATAAAATGGCCGTTAATAGGGCAGCGCATATCTATATTTCTATAATAATAACATTGACAAAAAAAATTGTGAGAATGTTTTCATATGGCAATGGAACCACGGACACGGCAAACTATCTGAGGGTAAAAATACCCCAAGTTTTCTAACTTATTTATGCCTTTCATCTAAGTTGTTTCGAGGTTCGTCATTTTTCACGACTAAACCGTAGAACATATTTTTATGGTGGTTCCGTCAATGGCACACAATAGATAGTATTTTTTTAATGAAATATAATTATTTTATTAATAGTTTAGTTTAGTTTTTGTCGTATATCATATTATGATAAACATACGACCTAATACAGAGCTGCAACTTGCAAAAAGACGTATGAAATTTGAATTTTACGAGCTATATTGGTAGAACTACCATCTGATATTATAAAGAGATGAAATTTGTGGGTATGCAAGGGGTAATCTATAGAAGTACCAGTCGGATATGAAAAAAATATTTTTGATTTGGTAGTCAGTTCTTGTGAAATGCCAGCCTAGTCTATATAACACCACGTTTTAACTCTTAGAAGCTAAGCAAAAAGAAAAAAACGTCAGAAACAATGTTAAACGAAAACGAAGTGATAGCGCGGGCAGGTAATGCGATGCGGCGGGATATGAGTCGGGGGTACAATAAATTTCTCGCTATAAAGTCACAGCAGAAGCCAGTAATTACTATTTTTGATGTTAAGTTTCCTACACATACCATTTTTAACATGCAAATGATTGTGGGTTTTAATTAAAAGTCAACAATAATTTTATTAAAGTACCAGCTTCTGTCCGCGTAGAAGAAAATTATTTTAATGGAATTTTTAATTGTTTTTTTTACATTGAATAAAACTAAATTTACAAATTTTTTCGCGTTTATTTCACTACTTTTACTTATTTTTAATTCCCGAAGATCGATGGATGCTGCCACCTGCTTGGGATCCTATAATTAACAAAATTAAACCCAAACCTAAGCATACCACTGCAAGACTTCATGATACTATAAGCTCGTTTTGCGTAAATCGGACCAAAAATTAATATTCAAAAACTGAAGGTAGCCGGACTAACTATGACATTGGGACGTCAAACATCTCAGTCCCCCCCCGTGACCATGGTTGCTGTAAAGCACCCGAAACGTCGGGAATTAAAAATAAGTAAAAGTAGTGAAGTAAACGCGAAAAAATCCGTAAATTTAGTTTTATTCAATGTGTAGTGTTCGCGTAAATTTAAGAAATCATTATGGTTTTTTTTACGTTAATTTTGTTATAAGGTATAACATATAAATAATTATGTTTAAATGTGTGAATACTTAGAAATAAAACAATGTTTATAATAATAATAATAATAAAATTTATTTAAAATAATAAAGTTTATTTATTAAGGTATCAACCCACATATTATGTTAAGTACATTTTGGGTCAAAGACAATGAATGTTTCGTATGTGTATAATACTCTAAGTATTATACACATACGAAACTACAAATTAAACTCTATTATGAGTTAAAATATAGTAATTTAAAACAATCTTTTTCATCACCTATAGCATCAGATGCATACCCTGCCAGTGTTTATAAAATATATTGTCAGGAGACACCTGAGCAACAACCTTAACTAATCCATTTGTTGAGTTACGTACAGTTTCCCAGAAGCTGGCCGTTCTATAACGTAACACTGCGTAAAAGTCTGGCACAGCGGCCACTGCGAACATTGTGGATGCACTTCAGTACCGTGGATGTTTAAAAAAAATACGAAAAGCATCATTATACTGTATTCTGAGCGTGTTATAGGACTTTTTTGTGTAATTTATTTAAAGTTGTCCGATGTAAAAGCTAATACAATAGGCTTTAAACAGAGTAATCTTAACATCCTCAGAACACGAGGCAAAGCGACGCGCCAGTATGTTACAACGTATAGCTAGAGCTCTACGTTCACCGTCAATATCCAAGTCGTCACTCAGGATATCCGACAACATATGACCCAAGTACCTGAAATTCTTCACAGTCCGTACCTGCACACCATTTATGCTTACTGGCGGTACTCTCCCCGGACCCTTTCCAGCACGAAAGACCAGCATTTCAGTCTTAGACTCATTATATTTTAATCCATGCTGACGAGCATAATTTTCGCGGATGAATATAAGCTTTCTAAGACCGTTGATCGATGGGCTAAGGAGCACCATATCGTCTGCGTAGCTAAGGTTGTTAAACGCTACACCATTAATGTGATATCCAATTTTGGTACTCCTAAGCTCTTCGATCAAGCCGTTAACATAAAGATTGAAAAAGTCCGGAGAAGTCAGCCCTCCCTGACGTACCCCACATACTAGTTTATAGCCACTAGAAGTTGTGTCGTCCCACCTAACTTTATTTGTCTGATTTTCGTACCAGTATCTCAGCAAACTCAGAACATTGCCAGGTACATTGGACTCATGCATTTTCCTCCATAATATATTATAATTAACAAGGTCAAATGCACGACTCAAGTCCAGAAAGCAGGCGTAAACACATGTATTACGTCTTTTATAATAGTTTACAACGTGCTTAACAGACAGTATTGCAGAGTCGGCAGAAACACCGGCACGAAAACCAAACTGAGCATCACTTATCCTAATATTTTTCACAAGTTCGGGCTGTAGAAGTTTTTCAAGCACTTTACCAACTATTGTGCCCACAGAGATAGGGCGGTAATTGGAGATATTAAAGAGGTCACCGGTTTTGTTCTTTACAGATATGTATGTTAAATACATAGGTTAAAAAGTAATGCTAGAGAATCAAATAGTTTATCACTGGCATAGAGAAGGTGCTCAACACTCAAGCCATCGTAGCCCGGAGAATTTCCTCGCTTCATATTATGAACTACTTTTATGATATCACTAGCACACAAGGACAAAACCTCAGCGTTGGAGATTGTCGACTGAGCATGGGGAATACTCTCCACGTGGATTGGTTTAATTGAAAAATGATTAGCAAACATGTTAGCTATGTCCTTTTTGTCGTTAATCTCATTCACGCTAACTGGCAAGCTACTACGTATGTTGCAGGCTTTTGTTGCTTTTCAAAATTTTGAAAAATTTTTATTTGCTCTATGAGTGGCAAGTATGTTCATTCTTATCATCTCTTGATTATTTTGGCACAATTTCAATTTATTTTTAAAAGCCCTACGCGTCGTTGTCATATCGTCATAAATTTTTCCGTTAAACGGTTTTCCAGCAATTATCCATTCTTTAAAATATAATAATAATAATAGTCCAGAGTGATCAGAAGAGGCTCTATATCCAGAGTGATCAGAAGAGGCTCTATAAATCATTGGAGCGACCAATAGTAAGTGGAACGGGCCCTGCACCAAATCAGGCCGACATGGTCGCATTCTGGCGCAGCCTGTGGTCAGAGCCCGTAAACCACAACGAGGGCCCTTGGACAGAAGTTGTGGCGAGTCAGTGTGCGAGTATTACGCCCATGGACCCCGTCATCATAACGCCGGATGACGTAGCTGAGGCGGTCCGTAGGGCCCCGAACTGGAAAAGTCCGGGGCTTGACGGGCTGCATCACTACTGGCTGAAGGGGTTCATGGTGTGTCACTCTGTGCTCGCCCGACAGTTTCAAGAGGCTCTCAACCAGAAGTCGCTCCCAAGCCTCTTCACTACTGGGATCACTCATTTGGTTCCTAAAGATCAGGGTGCCACAGACCCGAGCAAATACCGCCCCATCACGTGTCTACCGACCATATACAAGACACTAACATCCATTTTGAGCGCAAGAATCGCTCGTCACCTGGACTTAAATCAGGTGATGTCGCGCGCTCAAAATGGATGTCGGGGCGGTGGTCGTGGAACCAAGGAACCACTCCTCATTGACGCGGTCATTGGCAAAGTGGTGAAACGCAACCGTCGGAACTTCTCCGCCGCCTGGATAGATTACAGAAAGGCATTTGACTCGGTGCCCCATACATGGCTAAAGAGGGTCCTCGAGCTGTACAAGATTGACTGTACAGTTCGAGACTTCCTCGAGCAGTGTATGGGGCAGTGGAGTACGATCCTCTGTCATCTAGGCGAGCGGATGACGGCTGCGGAAAGCCGCATAAGGATAAGAAGGGGTATATTCCAGGGCGACTGTCTGAGTCCAATCTGGTTCTGCCTCTCTTTGAACCCTCTCAGTACTTTACTGGAGGGCTCCGGGAGGGGATTTCAGCTTCGGAAAGGAGGTACAAAAGTGACCCACCTTTTTTATATGGATGACCTCAAATTATTCGCCTCCAGTCGCTCCCATCTTATGGAATTGCTAAACATCACGTGTGAATTTAGCAATTCTATTAGAATGGAGCTGGGGACGGATAAGTGTGCGGTCCTCCATGTTGAAAGGGGAAGGGTTGCTAACTCTGAGGGCATAGACTTATCTATGCCCGTCAACTTAAGAACCCTTTCCGAGGCTGAAACATACCGATACCTGGGTATGTCACAGAACATCGGTATCGATGAGGCTGGTATGAAACAGTCAGTTTGCGACGTGTTTTATGCACGCTTGACCAAAGTGCTTAACAGCCTTTTGTCCGGTGTGAATAAGGCACACGCATATAACGGTTGGGTCATGCCTGTCCTCATGTATACCTTTGGCATACTCAGGTGGACTCAGACTGAACTTAACGCCCTGGATAGAAAAGTCCGCACTACCATGACGTCCCATAGGATGCATCATCCGAGATCGTCGGTAATGAGGCTGTACTTGCCGCGGAAGCATGGTGGTCGTGGCTTCTTGAGCGCGCTCACCATGCATAATCGCGAAGTGTGCAGCCTCCGTGATTACTTCCTTGCGAGATCGGATGATCCATTCTATAAGGACGTCATTTCTTGTGATAAAGGACTTACCCCTCTATCCTTAGCCAACGAGCAATGGCAAGACCCGGCAGTGCAGAGCATTTCCGACCGGGAGACCGTATGGAAGGAGAAGGAGCTCCACGGGAGGTTCTACA